ATGTTAAGGACAAGGCCTCCTTTAACTGTTCAATTGATTTGCAGTGAATCACCAAGTCACATTTTTCCAGCTCTTTTACTAATTCAACATCAATAACGGTTTTCTAATGCCACGAGCAAAAGAAAGTAGGCTGAAGTTTTTAAAGCTAAGTCTGGGACATACTGGTGAAAATATAGTTACAGGTACGTCAGAAAATTCATATCGTTCTGAGACACGAATTCGGCAAATTCTGCAACAGTAGATGTTTCCTCTAATGTATTTAGGATCTCATTACCCCCATGCCCGTCTATATCACTATCCATATCGACGACCAACAACGAATTCGCCATAACGCAACCAACCAATGAAAAATATGGCAAAATAAGCCAATATTTTAAGATGACCGTAATCTAAAGTTACCTTTGTGATATTATTAATCTACTTAATTCCGAAATATAGAAATGTGACATTGTCTAGCCCCAAATGAGCCAAGCAGCCAGAGCGACTATCCATGCATGCAAATTTGCTGACAGCCGAAGCCGGTCTCCCACACCTCGCACGTGAAGCAAACATAAACCTACTGCCACTTTTGCCTATTGAATTGTAGAGATCTTTCTGTCTCGTCATAACCTCTTGGGAGGTTTTACATTTTGCAAGTAAGACCTGATGAGTTAAGTAGCAACTGCAATTTGGACTTAGTGTTACAAACGTCCAATGTTCTAAAATCGAAGACAAGAAATGAAACTTTTTCATTGTTGTGACGGGAATCGAACCTGCAACCTGGTGTTAAGTTTTTCCCCCATTGTGTTTCCACTGCGCCACCGGGACAGGTGGTGAAAGAAAGTTCAATTTCAGATGTGCTGACTTAGTGTTGTCTATGCTGCACGTGTTTCTTCTCTCGCAAGCTTTGATAGCATTCCCTTTATGTCGCAACACACTGTATTGCTTCACAATAAGATATCTCGATGTCTTCTAAGTTCTTCTGATATTTTTTTTTGCATTAAAACCGTTGATAAGTGACATAAAGCACTACTCGGAGGTTATGGTGGAGGCAAGAGGGTTTGACAATGTAAGACAGAGGAGCGAAGCCGATAGTATACCCTATTGCCTCGGTCCTCCTTCCTCCACCATAACCTCGGAGGAGTGCTTTAGCCTTCACATAATGACCTCCCCTGGACTACATGCCTGCATAGCAAATATACCAACGTCACAAACTACTTGAGGTTGAGATCCTCTTCGGAAATACTTGTATACCTAAAAAACGTTTTCATGTTTCTTCACAAACACTTACACTTGTCCTCTGAATGGTGAATTACTCTTTTTGTTGCTTACGTATTGTAGAAAATCAGCCCTGTGTGTATTGTGGGACAGAATAAGTTCCAAGTATCACCTCCTTATTGAAGGAGAGAAATGAAGTTGTAACAGTGTGTGCCATTAATCATTGACGAGATTGTCCGTGTAATGAATGTTGCCAAATAATGGTTAAATGCAGATGTCAGGTTCAGTAAGAGTGAACCATGATATGTACACAACCTTGTGTTCAAACTTCTTCTTTCGTTTGTTTACTTTCAAATGATAGAGACAACACTATTATTTACAACATATGTTTTAGAAAAAAAACATTTGAAAATGTTACTGGTTGGATTTATAAGAAAAACATAACGAATCCAATTGTGACATAAAACCGAATCAGGAGGAAGGGTATTTCTTTGTGACTGTCCTCGGATCTAATTATATATCTTGTCAGTCTTGTCCTATGTACAAGTACATAACCATAAGTATAAAGCACACCAATTATTTGAAAGAGATTTGATGGTGATCATAGCTGAAACAGATATCTACACGTCACTGTAGCTCACCTGGATGAAAGGAGGTAACTATTAAAAGAGCATCTTAATTGCTGCACAATGTCTCTTAATCTACAAGACTGGATGTACTTCTATTGCATAAGGGACCGACCTTTTGACATTCTGTGTGTACATGTATGTGTGTGTTGTGTGTGGGGTGGGGGTTCTCAAATGTTATCTCAGAGAATGCTTAAAACAAGGTAATAATGCTTCGGACTGTTGAAAGCAACCGAAATTATCTACCACTCATAATGCCACTCTTTAACTACTCTTCAAAAAAAAGAAAAAACGCAATACGGATATTTTTTCCATAAAAGCAAAATTAGCAGACCAAGAGGTGCAAAATTGAAGCGGTTCAATGTGTTATAGTATCAGTGACAAATTTCCCGGATCAAAATAATCACAACAAGGACATGCAAACCATTAGTCGGGAAACACGTACGATTCGGAAAAACGCACCAATGCAATAACAATGCACAGTGGTCATGGAGCAGCAGCTCTATGGACGGTATTACAGTGCAGGGTGTTTGATTGCCTGGTGTCTGCGTCAATCGAACAGTGACAGTTCAACCACATGCCAAGATTAACAGAAGTGCAAAGAAACAACGTCATAGGCCACTTGCAGGCAGGGGAATCCCGATCAGCTGTAGCCAGGGTTTTCAATGTTGCGCCCAGCACCATCAAAAGGCTATGGGATCGGTTTCAACAGCATTGGTCAACACGTGATCGGCCAAGGACCAAGAGTAACCACCCCCGTCCAAGACCACAGCCACTTCAACCGCATCCCAATTACCCGGCGCAGAATCACCGACCAGACCGTACGAAACCGTTTAAGAGCAGCAGGTCTACGAGCAAGACGTCCTGTTCGACGCGTCATATTGAGTCGACAACATCGCCAATAATGACTGCATTGGTGTCGTCAACACAGGGTCAACTGCGACAGAGAGATGTCTGGTTCAGCGACGAATAAAGATTTCTCCTCCGTCGAGGGGATGGAAGAGCACGGGTCTACGTTACGCCGGAAACTGCGTACACAAAGTGGACATGTTTGGTAGGGGTAGCGTTATGATGTGGGCGGCTATCTCTCAAAATGGCAGGACAGGTTTGGTCCATATCCAGGGCAATCTCACGGCTCAACGAAACATAACTAAATTCTTCCACCACATGGCATCCCAATTGCAGCCAACGGCAACGGTGTATTCCAGCAGGACAACGCTTGACCGCATTCAGCACGAATCACAAGAACCTGTCTACACAACAACAACGTTGATGTTCTCGCCTGAGATCCCCGGTTTTGAACCCGATAGAGCACCTGAGGGATGAATTGGATAGACGGTTACGCCGACGTCAGCAACAACCCCAGACGTTGCGGCAGTTGACTTTCCCCAGGATGTGATTCGCATACTCGTCTCTTCCATGGGCAGGAGATGTCAGGCCGGTATTGATTCCAACGGGGGACATACGCGTTATTGATGGTAGCTGACCTTCACCTTGAACTTTTCCTATGTACCGATAACTGAGAGGACTACAATCACCAATGCCCTAGAGCCGCCGACTGGTTCTTGTAGAAATATGATAGGTATAGAGATCCAATCCTCTACGTCCAGAAAAGTCGAGTTCATGTTTCTCCGACACTACCGGCTGTAGCCATATCTAGCAGGAAAGGGGGCGGTCGGGTAGCCTAGTGGTTAAAGCGTTGGCTCGTCACGCCGAAGACCCGGGTTCGATTCCCGACATGGGTACAATGTGTGAAGCCCATTTCTGGTGTCCCCCGCCGTGATATTGCTGGAATATTGCTAAAAGCGGCGTAAAACCATACTCACTCACTCTAGCAGGAAAGCTGTCTATTTAGATATTTGAAGCAGTAACGCCCGTGCTAATGGTTCAAATGGTTCCATAATCAATGCAGACAATACCACAGATAAATTCCACTTCGGAAAGGAAAGTTGAGTTTTGACATCTTCTAGCAGAAAGGATCTCGTCAGTCTGTTAAGTACTGGGAGATTTCCTATGGTAAGTCAATCATACTGAAGCACCGAGACTAAAGATGATCTATATCCTTCTTTAGTACCATGATGAAACTTATTGTCTTGACTAAGATGGAGCAAGAAGTCCTCCACCATGGGAATAGTTACATTCCATTCCCTGACTCCTGTTTCTCCGCCAAATGCACCCCAACTTACCCCATGTATTGTCATAAATGGTGGATGAAGAAGGTCGCCAAGATCGCGCCACCACTTCTGATGCAGAGTTGGAGAAGCCAGAAACTTAAATATTTGCTGTCATAGTTTGAAGATGAGGACTGTGTCCGTTTAGTGTAGAGGACTTCTGTCGAAAATCTAAAGGTTTTTATTGTGTCGTGACAGCCAAAATACAGAATTATTGGTGTCGATGTAATAAAGGTACGGTATTCGCAGGAATTTCTGTGTTTTGCATGTCAGGAAAATGTGATGGTTTGACCAAACTATGATTTCATCATAAGGACCAATCATACATTCCACCATCAGATAATTCCACCATCAGATCCTGATGAGAAGATGTTTACTGACGACGACTACGGACGCCGGACAAGCAGGCCATGACATATGCTGACTTTAATTTCAGTCGGTTGAGCTAAAAATCTATTAATTTATTGCCAAATTTCGTTGTGTTTTATATGCTGTTATACTAAGAAATAAAGTCAAGTCCTCGCATGGGTCGTATTTTGAGTTAAACCTCCTCCCTTTGTTTACACCTTGGAAAGAGGTGGGTTTTTCTTTAAGGTGATCATATCTATGTTCTTATAAGGATAAACATATCAGCCATGCATTACCAATGCTTGTCGTTGGTTTTATGCCGGATAGTAAATAATAACCTTAAGCTCACTCAGTTGGTATGATTTCATACGTTATGTCAATCTGCTTTTTAACAATATAGTGCGCATTATAATATATAATAAACTCTCATTTTTAAAGCAGTCCGACATCCAACAACTTTACTGTGTCATTACAATATAGTTTATGATAGTTGAATGTAGCGAAAGGTTAATCCAGGATCGAAATGTTTTCAGCATTAAACAGTTTGCATTTATTTCACTGTGTTTGAATTCAAGTAATTATCACTTGAACCTTTGGGTGTCGTTATGTGTATGAACAACATCGTCTTGCGTTCCTGATACAAATGACAACCCCGAGAGCAAGTAAATGATTTATTCCAGGTGGAATACTTATACACTCTCAGGAGAGCCATGAATACATAACTGTCACAGTGTATCAATACAATAGGAAGCACGACGACAAACGTCTCTTTTGTCGCATTCCAGATTCCCTAATTATACACAAATAATTCACTTTAGACTTTTTAAGAAGATACATATCTACTTTCCTAATCAAGTGATGCGACACATGCGGGATATTTATGTACGGGATAACAACAGGACATTTTCATGGATATTGTCGCGTATGTTCTTTCATGTTTAGCAAGGCATGACGTGCGTCATACAAATATATACTCACCACCAAAAGAAACGCGAACCATAGAAACATAGAGAAGTATGTACGTTAAGAAGAGATGCACTTGATTTCTAAACTTTATACCCTAATCCTGCACCACACAAATGGTGCATGGATCTATGACGTCACACGTGATGCGATCATGACAGTCGGTTCGCATAACACATCAGTATGTTCTTATGTGAATCGAAACAATCTAATAGCTCTTGAATATGAGCAGTTCATCATATACTAACCAACATGTATGGTATTCGCGCTTCTATTGGTGGTAGGGGCGGTCGGGTAGCCTAGTGGTTAAAGCGTTCGCTCGTCACGCCGAAGACCCGGGTTCGAATCCCGACATGGGTACAATGTGTGAAGCCCCTTTCTGGTGTCCCACGCCGTGATATTGCTGGAATATTGCTATAAGCGGCGTAAAACCAAACTCGCTCACTCTTTTGGTGGTGAGTATATAAAGATTTCTATTAAAATTACTGATCGGACATTAATTGTTTTGCAGCAGCATCATGTTATATATGACTTACCAAACTACTACAGCTTTCAGCTCGTAACATCTGGTTAAACTAATGTAGGGATTTAACTGGAATGTTCTTTGCATAATGCATAAACATTGAAGCAGCCCATTTCATACAAACGCCTCATATTAATCACTACAATGCACGTGCCTTAGGTATATACATATGCATGTAGTGTTTATCACAAGTAGTTCATATCAGTTACAAGGTAAAGCAGAGTAGACATGATTAGAGGCAACATTTACTGGTGTAGATCCTAAACCTAGGTTGTGGTGGTAAATCACCTGGGCACATCAGAGGGTTGTATCTCTCACATAGACTGCTCAGGCAGAGGGGTAGAAATGCAGCCTAGAAGATGACATGTCTCAAGCTAGCATAAGAAGATCATAAGCACCTATGACACCTAATTCACCATTTCGGGTGTGATACTTCATTGAGACTTTTAAAAAAACACCATACCCCTGGCCATCTTATTAAGTAAGTTATATTCCTTTCTAGTGTAATATCCATGTCCTTCAGTCTCAAACATGAAGTGCCAGCACATTGCAGTCGTGAGGGAGTATGCTCAAGTTATGTGTATATAAGCATTTCGACAAAACGACATGTGTACATAAGCAATTTTCGATACCAAAGATATGAGTACATAAGCATTCTTCTTCAATTTAAAATTAAATGGAACCAAATCATATGCCCAAATATCCTCCAGGGGTATAAAGGAGGTATATCTGATATGAAGTCTCTCATATATATTGTAAGCTTGTCTCACATTCACAGAAATTGCTCAATTACCACAGTACCTAAAATGACTTGCAGAAACAAATGATGGTGAAGAGGGAAGTCGGGAAGAGGAGCAGTATTTAACTGAAATTCCTGTAGTTGAAGATACACTAACATAAGGAAAAGGAAAACATGTGCATGGTGTCCTTTTCTTATATGTGGTCTTCCTTGTTGGTCATTCTTTGGGCTTGGAATCATTTTTTCTGTAGTCAAATAGGCTGCTGGCCGTGATGTTCCCAACATAGTCCAGTGATTCAACGAGTAGTTTTGCAACCTGAAACAAAAGAAACACTGTAAATGTTGACCAATATGCAAAACATGCGTATTTGTTTGTTAATTTGTTTGGAGATCAGGAGGTAGGTTATGTATAAACGCATTGAGCCGAAGCACTGGCACGCGGGCTGGTCAAAAAGCTCTAAGTCTAAAAAACAAAACCAACAATTGTGAAAGTGTTTTTAATATTATTTTTCAACATAGTCGCCATGTTGTTCAATACAAACTTCTCAAATCGATAGAGAAGCTTTTCAATTCCAGTCAGGAAGAAGTTTTCTGAAGCCACCCTAAAAAAACCATTCACAAAAGCTTTGAGCTCATCGTTGTCGTCATAGCACTTTCCACGAATGTGTTCTTTCAGTTTAGGAAACAGGTTGAAATCATCTAGCGAGTATGGAGGTTAGGAAGCTCTTCGAACCCATATTGTCGAACAGCAGCCTTTGCAGGTCAAGCGGCGTCAGAAGAGGCATTGTCATGAAGTAGTAGAACTACATCAGTCAGCATTCCTTACCGCGTTTCTTGATTATAATATCTCAGACGATGAAGCAAATCAGCATATTAGGCACCAGTAATCGTCTTTTGTTTTTCTAAGTAATCAATAGGGATCACATCCTTTACATCCCAGAATACAGTGGCCATAACTTTCTTCACTGGTCTTGAAGGCTTGAATTTCTTTGGTACCGGAGAAGTGGAATGGTACCATTTATTGGACTGACGTTTTGACTCGGGATCATAGTGGTTAACCCATGTTTCTTCACCCGTTACTAATCTCATTTTGAAATGAAGAAATCCTTCTCAATTAGCTCTAAATGAGCAGATATCTTATTCATCTGTAAATGTTCATGAATAATAGTTTCAATGGATCCATGGCTTAGACCTGTGTCTTCCTCAAGTTTAGCAATAGTAATACGTCTATCTGACAGTGTAAGTTTTTCTATCACCTTTGATGAATCTTCATTGATGGAAGTTGAGGGGCGTCCAGACCTAGGGTCATCATCAAGGCTTCTTCTCCCAGCCTTAAACATAGCTGCCCAACGTTTAACAGTGGAATAGCTAGGGCACTTATTCCCATACACTTGTGACATGCGGTCATGAAGTTCTAGGGGAGTACTTTTCTCTAAAGTAAAAACCTTGATGACTGCTTGATGCTCGTTCCTCTCCACTCTTGTGTCCATTTGGACCCCTATCACGTTCAACTGGCTATCACTAATATACAAAGGGGCTCAACAGACTAAATAATCTTGCAATGAACTCCTCAAACAATGTACTACATTGACCTTTTCACTTTGTTATAGCCATAGTTGAATGTTAGTCAGCCTTAGAACATTTTGACCAGCCATCGTAGCAAAATATTTCAAATGAATTCTTCACATTTAAGCAGCTTGATCACCTACCCTTGTTAGCTGCAAAAGTTATACTAATAGATGCCAATCGCGAAAGGTGTGACTCTAGGTCTACACCGGTAGATACATGTAAGTGAGTCACTTGATAACTTTAGACATAACAAGTTCAAACTTACTGTGTATTTTTCTTTTCGAAACAGACCATCACATAGGTGTTCATTCTATATTCCTTGTCAACAGTATTAATGAAATCATATGCACCATAATATAGTAATGGGTCATTTATATCCTATGATTGAGGAAAAAAGAATTCTGATTCCACGTTGTACATAACCACCATGGTGCCCAGTTTGAAATGTCATTTTGGTCCAACATTAAACAATGTCTGCATGTTTCTTTATCAAATGTATTTGCAATATGCAGAATAACATAATCACAGTTAGTGTCAATTTCATTTTTGAACCTGATATGGCATTAAACTGATTAGAGGGCTAAAACGATATTCTTCAAAATACTAGAGTGGCCTCCCCTAGAAATAAGGTGTTGTTGTTTCAGCTTGTGTTGTTGTCCACATAGGGACACAGGAATTCATCAGTTACGCCTTCGTTTGATCGCTAAATGCTACGTGTATCACAGATATTTCGTAACAACTTTCGTGTACATTTGTCTTTCAAAGTCTCTATATGGACTTTGGTGTGCTGTTAGACCCTCAATGGGCAGTAGAACATACTGGGTTTCTCACTAGAGGTGTTAAGTATTTGAATCTGTATGATTTCTGAACTAAGTTACAACTTAGATATGCATTATATCGACAGATCGGTCAATAGTAAGATCATGGTGAACAAATCTTACTTCACAGTAAAGGAACCCACGAACACCTCTTAGTACTTTGTACCTTCAGTAAATCCACTTTGGAATGCCACAGGCTTCTTGTAGTTAGGAAAGTCCGACAACTAGTAGTCTTGATCACATACTTGTTGTACCCCTCTGACAAGTGTTATTGGCACGCCTCCCATGGCCTAAAGCTATGAACTACCAGGTAGTGGACTTCCGTTTTGTGGAAGCCTCGGTGGCTGAGTGGGTTAGATCGCTGGCTTTGTGTGCTGGCGATTAGGTGGCTCACTCTGGGCATGTGGGTTCGAATCCCAGATGGCACTCAACCCAAAAAAGAATCTATACTTTACTAAGAAAGTGTAATCCAAAATATAACATTTGTTACATATGATCACTTTCTAAATAGTATTGTGTAATCATAGGATAGATACGGTTGAATCAATGGTGGTCTGATACGATAGCTGCAAGTGAACCTAAACTGAAGTATGAGAAGTGGACTAGTATTCATCATATCCGTTATTAATACAGAAAACAATAAGCAAACGTGTGACACCACAATTTATAGGAAATGTTGATCAATACATTTGACATATATACTGAAGAGCAAAAGAAACACAAGTTGCGTTTAAAATACTTTAGTGAGTGAGTTGGGTTTAACGCCTCTTTTAACAGTATTCCAGTTATATCACGGCGTGCCAGCTTAATGTGGGAGGAAAGCCCGAAGTGATGCAGGTCTTCGTTGAAACCCACGAGCACGGATATGGTGCTGACAACCCTAGAAACATAATCGGGGCGATCCTGGATTCAAACTCTGCGCGGCGCCTCAGGCGAATTGGCCACCCGTGCCCCCTGAAATACTTGAAAACATAAGACATGCAAACATGTTTGTAAATATGATGTACATTTAACGGTTGTTATTAAGAATCGCCTTAAAGCTAATTGGCTTAGTTTCATTAAGTCATACCATCATTAATATATTGTGAGTACCGTCATCAAACTTTAAGACAGGTGTGGAGCACATGTCGATATAAGCTCGGTCACCAACAGACACCCAAGTTAATGATGACCAAAACAAGCGACAAAGTGTCCAAAGCAGCCGAGCTAACAAAACGAGGGGAAGCAATCGTCTTGTGTTATGTAGCCTAATTCACGTAAATTAACAGGATTTTAGATAAGAACGATGGCAATATAATTATGCCTTGTTCTGGCATAGTGCTGTATTTTTTCTTAAGCGACTGAATACTGGTTCTGCGAGTATACTCCCAGTAGCATATACTTGTTCCTGATACTTAACAACTTAAAAACAGATACGTTATGGCCAGTTAGCGTGTATTGTCTTTTCTATCACAGAGTTGACTGTTTGGATGTGTACCCAGTAAATATCAATCTCCATTATGTGACAAAACCTACCTCAAAGTTGGTAATAAGAGGTACGGCGTGGTCAATGGCAGCACGTCTGATGAGATAATTCTCTGTGTTATATGTCGTGTGATTGTTAGGAAGGTTGATCACCAAGTCTATCTCGCCATTTTCAATTAATCTGAAATGTGAATTAAATGTGAATATGCAAGCATAATATAACATATTAGTGAAAACAACCATATGTCGAAGCAAAAATAACCTGTCTCTAACTCCAAAATGTTCATAATGTTTGGAGGACAGTTTTCACAACAATTTAATAGATCGGTACTTTTCGTACTCTTTGGAGCAAGGCTATTTTAGGGAGTGAAGGATTTTCATAACTCGCTGGACCTCTTATCCACCTTCTTCGTGTGTGCTGTTTTTTTATGTCTGCTCGTGAAGAGAGGAAAACATGTTTGCATTTGGTTGGAATGCAACGAAAAGGAGGATTCTCATATTTCCTTACCTCATATTAAAGATCCACTTGGGCTTTTCTCGGCTATTATGTTTTTGAAGTTGTGTGTATATTAAATAGCCAAGGTTAGTTTTCAGCACAAGTTGTATAGAAGTTATCTTGATGCTCGGTTTTCTAGCACATGGCCAGTGTTTGTTGGTCTGTGGTATGTTTAAGCTGAGTTTGGCCTTTAACTAACCTCTATCTGTAAGCAGTAGGGGATCTGTTGATGGTGACCATAAAAATGTCAATTCTTTTAGGAAACTTCAACCAACTAGGTTATCATTACATCTCTTGAAATTGAAATCTCGTATCTGTATTGCTTTAACCCGTGCCAAAACAAAATCAGTAATATTGAGTGTATGAAGAAATCAGAGAAAGGAGATATAGTAATTCATTGCAACAACTGCTTAATAAGGACAGCTCAATAAGGCACTGGGTGTTTCCAGATAATGTGACATCCATGTAAATTCTGTTCCCAAAGCCTTTCTCACTCTGGGGGGGTGTTATGCAATGTAGATTTACCTGTTAAGGACGTCTCTGGGCATTTAGGGGCACAGGTGGCCGCAATTAGCTATGCATGGTTGTGTCCCTTGGACGTGGTATAGTGAAGGAAATGACCACTTCAGTTATCTTAACCTTTGATGGAACACAGCAGCTTGATCGATGGTGCTTATATATGTAGATCAAGAACCATGGAACCTTTCTTTGCTGTTGACAGATTCATGAGAATGTCATTGATATAGACCAAGCAGTTTGGCATGGAGCACATCTCTCTCAAGGTTGAACCAATCAGGCCGGGAGTTGTTGGCATTAACACAGCTTTTCATTTTAGAGTACATGTTGCTAAATATCCTCAATAATGAAGTAGTTTTGTTTAGTTCTTTAAGTTTCCAAAGAAATCCAGAGGAGTGCCAAACACTATCAAATGTCTAGGAAAACCACCGTCGCTGTGTGACCCCCTCTCTAAGTAGTGTTGATCTGTTTCTTGAAGGATAAAGGAAGCATGGAAAAATGAAAAGCTTTTCTGAAATACGCATTGATTTGCAGTTATGAAATATTGGAATTCTTCTACACATTACCATTTCGAATACCTTTAAGATGACATGTGAAAGAGTCACATCTCTCTTTGAATCCGCTGAGGTTTTGTCTTTGATATTCCTTTTGTATATTGAAACATTTAGACATTCATTCTATTGCTCACTACATACCTTCAATGGCTTTGTTATAACATTAAGTTGGGGGTATCTCTTTCCCCAAAGGCTGTAAGATTCCGCATAAGTGTAGTCCCTTACACTGCTTTCTCGAAAATGATGTTTCATGTGTTTCTTTGGTGTCAGTTTTGATGTTCAAGCAGCAAAACACAGGATGGTGGTCAAATGTATTGAAAGGGTTGTCCTCTCTTACACTGATGACCAGCTTAAGTAATTCATATGGTACAGGGATGTGGTCTATTGGTGTTTCTTGGGCCTCTGCTTGAAACGTGAAAACTGGACCTGTACAATAATCCTTCATATTCCCTGATGTTTTTGCAAGTGATGTATCACGAAGAGTTCTACCAAAGAGGTTCTATAATCCATTTGCATTTGATATTTTGGTTCTTTTATTTTGGCATTCATATTGCCTAGGTATATCACACAGCCATTTTGTTACAATTCAGAGTAGATATCCTCAAACTATGTGACGTATTACTTAAAGAGCTGAAGTCGTTTGTGACATAGAAGTGCAGTTCAACCACTCTTAGAGGGTCTACGAGCATCACTTGAAGTAGGCAATTTTGTAACAATACCAAAAAAGCCAGCTTTCAGGAAGTCCAAGAATGCGAGGTTGGAGGTCTGAAGCTGATAATCACTTATTGTAAATGTATCAACGCAGTGTTCTAAAAAACATGCATTAAGATAAGGCAACACTTGACCTTGATTGGTGCCACAAGTACAGGCGCTGTTTAGAATCGGCAACTTAACTTCTCGGACCATTGATATCAACATAACTCCTTCAAAAATGATTTAACATCGCAACTTTCGGCATAGGGGCAACATTTGTCAGAGACATTGTATCTTTGGTTGATATGTCAGGAGGTGGCTGAAAATTACATCTCTCGTGATATCGGGGGTTTGTACAGCTACAGTTACCGCTGTGATCTCGGGTGTATTCAGCTACAGTTCTCGTTGTGATGTCAGGGAAAGTCAACAATGTTTACTACAGGTCACTAGCTTCCTTAATGCGTGTTGCAGTAATAACCGGTTCAGTAATACCCAAAACAGTTGTATGTACTAGGTTATTTCTGTTGAGTGAGTGAGAGAGTATGGTTTTACGCCGCTTTTAGCAATATTCCAGCAATATCACGGCGGGGGAACACCAGAAATGGGCTTCACACATTGTACCCATGTCGGGAATCGAACCCGGGTCTTCTGCGTGACGAGCGAACGCTTTAACCAATAGGCTACCCGACCGCCCTTATTTCTGTTGACGCTTGGAGTCTGTGTTTGATTTGGATTTAAGTTTTGTATCTTCAGTTAAACAACTATGGTTTAAGGTATGTTAATATAGGTACATGTATGTGATATTTGCCTATGTGGAAACTCTAGACTTTCTGCAATCTCTCTCAACGGCAGTAATCTTTTTTCTGACATCACCAATCTTTGAACATAACATGCAATGGGCTTCTATTGTGTTCATATCTGTTTCTAGTGACGATAATCTTTGGTTAAAGAGAGACACTTCTTATTTCATTGTAGGAATCCCAAGCTGTCATTCGTCTGATATTCATGAAATATCCATACATCTGTCATCCATCTTGCTCTTGATTTTGTTCACTGTAGTTCTAAGGACAATGTGACGTTTCTCAAATCCAGATTTCGCTACTTTTTCTAATTTACTTCATATCTAACTGATTCTCACATATCATGGTTTTAACGTCATTTCTTTTGGCTGAACGTTACTGTTCTACAGCCTTACATACTTTCCCACACAGAGTCATAGCAGTTTCACTGTGTGCATCTCCAATTTCTCCCTTCATGACATTGTGTTACTTCTCAAGCTGTTCAATTTCGATATGTAAGCAGTCGACGTCTTGCATTTATTCACCCCTGAGTTAGCTCGCTCCCTCTTAAACCAGGCTAGTGTCTCACTGATTGATTGGGTTGTTGTTATGCACTCAGAGTCATTGACAATGTTTGCAAGGCTGGATCTTTTGTTGTGTAGATTTAGAACATCACTTATTTCACCGTCTAATGTTCTATATAAAACAAAACAGCTTTTTGCTTATTTAAGCTTTTCATCTTGTTTTTCATATGTCTTTTCTTCTGCTAACAACTGTCTTCTCAAGACATGACACATATCACTCTGAGCCTTGTGAAGAACTAGTGCTGCTTCCAATTTCTTGTTTTATGTTCACTGTACCTTGCTCAGCCACTTGACCACTCGGATCCGCGCTGACACTATCACACTTCTCGCGTGATGATCTTGGCAATCTTGACTTGAAAGTTAGAAAGTTCCAGATTGTAGGGTTCGAATTAAACTTCTGTGCACATTGACACATTGATCGTGTGTTCATTTTAACATTGTGTAGCGCAGGTTGAGTTCAATCTGCCAACAGGTGGTTGTCTCCCGGCGTTTTAGTTGGGGTCGATATTACTTCATAAATTTTGCTTTCGGTTTAAAACCATTTGAAAAGCTATACTTTCAAAATGATTTCATTGTCGTTTTACGAATCCTACTTCAGTAAATTGTTACTATGGCCCCCAAGTTCGCCTTAAACCAAATTACCACTACCACCACCACTACCACTACTACTACCATCACCACCACCACCATTACTACCTCATTCTGATCGATAGTACATAGAATTAAGGGCTAAAGGGTATAAACCAGAACACGCGGAAGAGTTGAATTTATCATCCGTCACTGCATTCAAATCGTTTTACACCCCTACCCCGACTCCCTCCAAACCTCCTCCCAACATGGTATTTGTAATCGATATACCCTTATCATGACGCAATGTCGTACCCCACTGCCAGGTGTGTTACCGTGTTGCTGTTGGGTGGTCCGTCCTGCTATTTGACGGTGGCGGCCAGTTGACTACTTCTGTGGGGATGTAGTGCGTGTTCAGGTAAGAAGCTGTTTTCTCTGTCGCATACATCTAATAATAGAAATAAGAATCATTATGTCATCTAAGTACGACTACTATTGGCAAATATATTAAACTAAAAAAGAAGGAAGTTTATTGACTCATCAAAGGTAGTGTCTCTACTCTGTACTCGCCAAATAGAACATCGATCACCCCGGCAATGAGGCTGTTATCCTGCACGAAATACGGCACAGCTAAGAATTGTGTGATTTGAGTTTATCAATGAGAGTATATGACCAGGGGCATCTCTGCCTTGGATGGTCCGAAACTACCATGTTCACAAATTCTAACCTAACCATGACTACTGTCTGTGTTGGAAGACCTACCTGATAACCAAACAATGATAGCCTCTTCCCAATTGGAAGGAAGTGGGGAAGGAATGATTTCTGCATTCCTAACAAGACACCGCTGCCCTCCTTAGGAACGCGGAATCCAGCAGACATAAGAGCTTTGAGAAATGCAGTATACTTGGTGCTACCAAAACACGCTACCTGAGAACATGAACATGACATCGTCAAACTCGTTATGATGTGAAAATACCTGAAAAGGGAGGGTTTGACATTCCTGTCTTATAACAATCATCGTTCGACCCTAATTCCAAGGTAACTGAGCAATACTCTTTGAAGATCACCAAGATCATACAACTGAATAAAGTCAGTGAACAATACTACAACAAGTATTAAGGTTTGACGTAACCAATTAGCAGCTAGACTCATACAGCGTGAGCACCTCTAACAGGTAAGAAGATTGCAGCACTTATAGCAACTTGTTAATTCTAATACACTGATTACAGATTGAATTAAATCTAAAGAGATAGCAATTTTAAGTCTAAGCAGTTTTAACAGACTTATCACACCACCTGTTGCGTTACTAGTTGACTGTAGGCGCGGCCTGCAAGTGACTCTAATCTTTGAAGGTTTGCCTAGGCAACGACGCTGTCGTATGGTTATATACATCCTGTATACCCAGCGATAGAAAATCACGCCTCAGAGGAGGTAGCTGCCATCTAGGTAGTGATACACCCCAAACCGGTAGCCATGGCTAGTGATCGTGTCTCAACAAACTTTAATCTGATACAACAGATTAGAATTGACTTAAAGGGCAAGTTCACACGGAAATGAACCAATTTTTCTTGTACTTTTTCCACATTAAAAGTGTTAACATAGAAGTGTCATAGACAAAAATATAAAAACATCATATTTAATTAACATATTTTTTGCATTAAAACGATTTATATTTTTCACATTTACTAAGTGTTCTATTTCCATAACAAAAACACCATGGCTTATGCCCCTTGCAATATGACGTCATTGGTGCCAATTGATAAACATTATGACGTCATCATGCTTTGTTAGAGCCGCTTCACGTGGTGTAGGTACAGTTTTGTGATTTTAGCGTCTCAGATGCCAGCCAGAATTGTGTTATACTGAGTCACCACTGCGCCGGAGTGTGTCGTAGACCATGTTGTTTTACATAAAAACTGGTCCTTGATATCTTTTGCGTTGAGAATAGACAGGGACCCAGTTGAATTAGCACCAATTACGTCATAATCTAAGGGGGATAACTCAGGCCTATTTTGCTCGTAAAACGAAGGCCTCATAACGGCATATCATTTTAACACTATTGTGAGCTTCCTACTTTCACTGTGAGAAAAAATGAGTGTATATTTTCAAACACAGATACTAACTAATTCTAAAATTGCGTTTTGTTTAGAAAAAGAAAGAAAGTGATTTTTGCGTGTACACTTCCCCTTTAACAAAAGATCATCAAGATAATGTGCAGCACTTGTGCTTTAAAATCATGTTTTACATACAATAAAGGCCCAAGTCGGTTTCTGAACACCGCCAAAAAATTAACAAAAAATCTCATGGAAATTAACATATCTTTAATTTAATTAAAAATAATATAATTTAATGCCTGAAACATTAATAAATAACAAATAGCGGAATTACATGTTACATATGACCTGCTGTACATGTTGCATATACAATACTTATACATGTAGGATAAGAAATAAGACACAAGGGGAGCAGTCAACGCAATATTGCCAGTGAGGTTAACTGTTAGCTCACTGACCCACTCACCCACTCACCCACGCACCTAGTTGATGCCATCTTACACTTCAGCTAAAAAAGTCTGTACGTACCTCTCCAGTTGATGCCATCTCACACTTCAGCAGAGGATCAGCGTCTTTTAGCCGTGGCCAGGAGAACATTGGCGCCTGGGATCAACAACTCGTTTGCATGAAATTTTTGAAACATAAATAAAAGCTTCTTTCGTATTCATTCCCATCATGACGGCAAGAGAGAATGGAAGACAGACATGTTCATGTTCAAAGAAATGTTGCCTGATGTGCCCTGTGATGGCCCCTTAAGTGTAACATCTATTAGGGACAACGAAAAGTACAGGGCTCAAGAGTGGCAAGGATGTGAAGCATGGAATATATGGATATGTAGAAAGTGTCCAGGGGTGGTGTATGTAGGAGAGACAGAATGAACACTTGGGGAAAGAATAAAAGAGCACATGGCAGACGTAAGAGTGAGTGAGTGAGTATGGTTTTACGCCGCTTTTAGCAATATTCCAGCAATATCACGCCGGGGGACACTAGAAATGGGCTTCACACATTGTACCCATGTCGAGAATCGAACCCGAGTCTTCGGCGTGACGAGCTAACGCTTTAACCACTAGGCTACCCGACCGCCCCCAGACGTAAGACACCAGAGGGACAAACCTGTAGGGAATCACGTCAGCAGTGCTGCCATACCCTCAAGGGCCTCGGGAAAGATAGAATCTAGGAGCAGGTAGAACTTATCGACGAATAATAGAAAAAAAGGTGGATAGAACGCCTCGAGACAGAACACCCAAGACGCCTTAGTATCCCTTCCCTCAGCATGTGAAGAACTGCTTGTGTAGAAACTGGAGTTGCCATGCCGTCATACTGCTTTAAATAAATGTATTTCACAGAATGTGTTGAGCTGAATTGCTAAACAAGTAAAGACTTATGTCAATACCGCTCCAGTTGTCATACAATATCATCAATTATATTGTACAGTCAAGGGTAAGTAATAAAGTAATTATTTTGCATAAAGCACAGTTGTCGACTCTGAACGCGCTAAAACGATCTAAGTCATATGAGAGATTAAACGATAGTTTGCATTTAAACAAAGTTTGGAATACTGCCAGAGATTGGTTTGAAAGTATTAAGTGATTTCAGTATTTCTAAATTAATCTTTGCTGTAGCATTTGCATTTCCATAAAGAATAGATTTTAGACCATAACCTTTGGAGTAATAATGCATTTTCTTTTCTTTTGCTGGTGTAGTTGGTACAGGTAAAGATATAGTAAAGTGCATCTTCAGGGTGGTAGCCACGAGAACAATTTAGATTAGCTGATATAAACATTTTAAATCCGTCAGCACAGAGATCACTACAGCCAAGTCTTAGTGGACAATGCACAGTTTGGTTGAACCTCGAGCCATAGTTTGAATCAATGTTTGTTGCAATGCTTTTCATCACCTTTTATCATTCTTTTAACATCTTTAAATGTACTGGCTTCAGTATTTGCAGTAGGCAGGGAATTTTAGAGTATGACTGTATCATGAAGAAACGATTTTGCATATGTTGCTATTCTGCCATTTGGAGTCTGTAATTTAGAACTATTTCGAAGGCTGTAGTCATTTGTTTCTGATACTTTAGTCGGGACGAGACGAAATCACAAACATAGCTTGGTGCAAAATTTTTGACCATTTTGTAAAAAGTAGTTAATTTGGTTTAATGTCTTCTTTCACTAAGAGGCTTAAAATTTGTTTCCGTATATATTTTGCAGTGCCTAGTACCACGAACCACCCCACATATTGTTCTAAGCACATCCTAGCACATAAATGATATGTTCATAGTTTCTAATGTTTTCCTATTTAAATGATATTTAAAACTTCTGAGACAGTTTATCAAATGACTAACTTTTTTAACTAGTTCACTGGTAGTTTACCCAAAGAGCACTCGTATTGGAGACTAATTCCTAAATGTCTATGGGATTGAATTTCCTTGATAATATTGTCACTCATTTTAGTTTTGGTTCATTCATAGGTGTTACTTTACATGCGAACTGGATGGATTCGGTCTTGTTTGGATTACATTTAACTTGCCAGTTCAACTGTCTGCCCAAGTAGAAATTCTACTCTGCTCATGATATTAATCACTGGATTGTCTGGTCCAGACTCGATTATTTACAGACCGCCGTCATATAGCTGGAATATTGCTGAGTGAGGCGTTAAACAACAAACCAACCAACATATTTTGACGTGCCATCTGCAAAAAGTCTGATATTACTGTGAATGACTTCCACAAATTCATTTATATAAATAAGGAAAAATAAAGGCCTCAATACTAATCCTTGTGGTATTGGCCGTCACTGGCCTTACATTAGAACTGTAACCGTGAATAATTACCTTCTAAACTCTGTTTTCCAAATACCTTTTGAACCATCTTAATAATTACCCCTTGATGCCAGGTGAGTTAAGTTTGTGTATGATCCCCTTGTGCCAAACTTTATCGAACGCTTTACTGATATCGCAAAACACAGCTCTAATTTCCTTGCCGTTATCTACAACTTGTGCTATGAAGTCGTACAAATACATAAATTGATTAACATTCATAAGCCAGGTGCGGCTTGTATATTTCATGCTATTACAGAGGGAAATGTCTCGAGTGCGTGCCATTCTATAAGTATTTGGGTATAACTTTCAGTAAAACATTATCTTGAGATAAGCATACCAAAAGTGCGGCTACTCAGGCTTGAAAAGTTTTATTGGGCATATTAAGGATATTACATAGATTTAAACCAATTCATTTTGAGTTATGTTCTAGGATATTTGATACTAAAATAATGCCTATTTTACTGTGTGGGTCTGAAGTTTGGGGGTTGATAGTGTAGCAAATATGGAAATCATTAACATGTTTGCATGTAAACACTTTCTTGGAGTGAAGATCTCAACACCTAATTGCACAGTATTGGGTGAATATGGCAGATACCCTTTGTATATCTTTGCATTTAAACGTTCCATAAAATTTTGGATTAGATTATTGCGTATGCCAAAACAAAGATATCACAAAAAAGTGTTATAATATGCTTTTACAAGCAGCAAATAATGGCAAAAAATAATTGGGTTTCAAAATTATAGTATTTGTTGTTTCGACTTGGATTTGGCTATGTATGGGCATCACAAAGAGTAAAGAATTCTTTGTCGGGGAACTAATGGCAAGATAAAGATGTTCGTTTGAACAGGATTGGCACACCCTTCATTTTAACAATTCTAAAACTAGAAAATATACTTTCTTTAACGGTACCTTTGGAACCGAATTGTACCTTTAACATGTAACAATTGCAAAATTCCGTTCACCCAAAACCAGGTACACTTGGAGTACCAGATCTATACATAGTCAATTAAACGTATGTTGTCTCAAGGTTAAGTCGAAGTTCATAGTTGTTGAGTTGCAATACTATGGTATTATCTGAATTACAGAACGTGGTTACATCCTGGCATTCCGGATAGACAAGTCTCTATTCCTGGTTATCACTTACCGTTTAGACTTGACCGCACCACCAGAGGTGGTGGCGTCGCTATATACGTCAGGAATGGTTTTTACGTTAAAAGCATGGACCAGTTGACAATAATTGGAATTGTGGTCATTTCCAAAAACAGTATGTATTAGTTCTGAAGTTTTTTTATATGGGATCTCCTTTACAAATCAATAGGTAATGCTATAGACCTCAATCATGATACAATCATAATAGGAGAGGTCAACACTGATTTTTCTGGCAGTAAATGAACAAAGAGTTGAATGTTTACAATCGACATATGGTATAACAGATAATCTGTGAGCCAACTAGAATAACTTACCACTCTAGTACGCTACTGGATCTGATCTTTGTATTCCGTTTTAGTATTGTAACTATCTCCGGTGTACTTGACGCTATTTGTAGGGACCATTGTCCAGTGTACGTAGGAATTAACATACCTAAGCCAAATGTTTTCCATATAAAAATAAAGAAGTATAATCTTATTTATGTTGATGGGTTATCAGCAGATTTCAAAGGTAATGTCTGGAGTGAGCTACTTAAACGCAGTTGCGTTAATGCAGTTATAAAATTCACCTCAATACTTTGTAAAAGTTTATCATTAAGGTAAGAAAAGAGGACAATCCTGGGATGAACAATAAGATCCGTCGTCTTATGTGTAAACACAATAGTAAACATATAATTGTAAAACATTGAAACTATCCCTGGGATTGGAATACTTTTAGACAATTACGAAATCAAGTTGTCACCTCTCTTAGAATTGCAAAACAAAATAACTGCCATAAAAGATCAACGAATTAATAATTTCCGAGGTTCTAAAACTTGGTGGAGTTTGGTAAAGCACTTTTTAAAAAACTGAAAATCAAACTACTTTTATTCCTGCCATTATCTATAAAGTTACGATTTATGATGAATGTTGGTTGGTTGGTTTGTTGTTTTACGCCGCACTCAGCAATATTCCAGCTATATGACGGCGGTCTGTAAATAATCGAGTCTGGACCAGACAATCCTGTGATTGATATCATGAGCATCGATCCACGCAATTGGGATCGATGACATGCATCAACCAAGTCAGCGAGCCTGACCACCCGATCCCGTTAGTCGCCTCTTACGACAAGCATAGTCGCCTGTTACGGCAAGCATGGGTTGCTGAAGACCTATTCTACCCCGGATCTTCACGGGTCTGATTTATGATGAAGATGTGTGTAAAGCGAATATTTTATACTACTATTTCTCTGAACAATCGACAGTCGAATTCCCGTCAAATCGCGGTGAGCTGTAAGTACTGATTGTCCAAATACGTTAGGCCACATTATCCTTACCCCAGGGGAAATTCAAGATGTTTTACTTTCAGTTGATACCACCAAGACATCCGGACCTAACAGTATTAATAACAAACTTTACCCCCTTATCTAAAAGACGACAATCCCATAAATTAAAAACATTTTACAAAATGGTTTAACAAGTTGGCACCTGGATATCGATATCATCTTGTTCCCATCTTCTTCACACAGATACAGAGTGTAAATGCTGTAACAAGTAACTATTATAAATCATTTTTATCTGATACAGTGCGAATGTGGAATTATTTACCAGATAATATTCAGTCAGAAATGCTGTATATGGTTTCACTAAACGTATCACCACAACTTAAAATCTTAAAACCATTGGCTTTAAATTAGACTATGGTACCCGTTTATGTCAAATTATCCACTCACCCATGCATCTACTGATATTAATTTTGCTATTGTACAATCTGTTCATTTTTTTATTGTAAAGTCTAAAAGATTCCGAATTTGCAAAAGCAGAGGCCATTGTCCAATTTCGACTATATCATGCCCATGTGTTTAATAATCACTATCAAATAGTGATGATACCAGATAATCGCAAAAAGCTGAGCATATCCTGCCCCACCAGTGGCACAAACACATGCAAAGGCAGGGTCAGTTGTTCACCTGAAATAACACAAGAACATAAAAGTACAAGTCAAAAAAGGGAATTGCATCAGACATAATGATGCATCAAATTGGGACATGTCTTCCACATGTCTACTATACTCAACAACAAAAGTTCCTGTGACACCAATATTTAAGTGTATTTTTCAAACAAGTAAAGTTTGGTTTTCAATATTGTAGTACTTGTATGGAATCAAGTCACAAAAACGCAACTGCTACAGAAAAGCATGCATTCCATGCAAAAGTTGACTTTTATGCAAGCCCTTTGCATTTCACTACCCAAGAATGGGTATAAAAACATGTGCGTTAACTGGATTCCATATTCATTGTTTAGCATCGTGCTGACAACAACCACTCAGAAAAACAATAATTTACGCAATTATTCAACATTACGAAATGCCACGCCTGTCCGAAAATGAGCGTCTACGAGCGATTGGTATGCTTGAAGCAGGATTGAGTCAACGTGATGTTGCAAGACAAGTTAACGTCAACAGAAACACCATTTGGTGTTTATGGCAACGTTGGCAACAGACGAATGCAGTCAGAGACCATCCTCGGAGTGGCAGGCCACGCGGAACTAATAATCGACAAGACAACTGGATTCGAACAACACACCTACGAAATCGTTTCCATCCAGCAACAGTGACTGCAAGAAGCAACCCTGGCCTTCGACCAATATCTTCACAAACCGTACGTCGTCGCCTCAGTGGTGCAGACAGCATCTACGCTGGACAGCCATGCAGAGGGTACAAGTTCTATTCACTGACGAGTCTCGTTTTCACCCCAGCCACAGCGATGGACGGATTCGAGTGTACCGACGTCGAGGTGAACGTTACGTCAATCATTGTGTCATGGAAGAAGATCGGTTCAGGGGTGGCAGCGTTATGGTATGGGGTGGGATTACAGCAAGACAGAGGACCCGTTTGATAGTGGTAGAGGGAAATCTCAATGGACAGCGCTACCGCGACGAGATCATCGGCCCTGTTGTCCTTCCGTTTTGCGTTGTCATGGCATTACGCTCCCCTGATCTCTCACCAATCGAGCACATGTAGGATGAGATGGATCGGCGCCTTCGACGTCAACCACGTGTTCCACAGACACTCCAGGAACTTCGAAACATGCTCCAGCAGATATGGACAGATATCCCACAGGACTTTGTGCGATGCCTGGTCCATTCCATGAGATGTGTTGCTTGCATCGCAACCAGTGCTGGACACACACGCTATTGATTTGTGAATTGACATTTTGGCATGTTCATGGGGTTTTTTTTAATGAAATCACGCATTTTCTGAAATCAGTATGGCAAATTAAACCATTTGAACACTTGAGTCTTTTATCTGTTGCAAACCGGAATTGTTTCAGATTTAGTAAAAAACATAACTTTGCATTTAATCTTATTCAGTGTCACAGGAACTTTTGTTGTGTAGTATATAAGAGAGTTTGGAAAGCTTTACTCATGGCCTTGAATGTAATTCTGATAGAGCAAGTTTGATCAAGAGTCGTATCAATTGCTCGAATCCCAGGGCTTGGTTGAGAATGTAATCACGAGGGGGGGGGGGGGGGGTATATCCTGCAGGCCTGCATTAAAAACTGATAAGGTAGGATGGGTTTACAATCGGTGCCCATGGGCATGCCTAGCTTACTTTTTGTCTAAATGTCTTATCGCCATTTCAAATATCACATAGAAATTAACCAAGAAGTCCGGCATCTCACATATTGTGATCTCGGTAAACTGCAGATGATATTTACTTTCATTTTGACAAATTGTCCTGAACCATTTAAAGATAGAGATATCTCTATTAACTGACAACAAGCATAGAGACAAATGTCCCATGGATCAAGGAATGAAGTTTGTAATTACGTTTGTCGAGTAGGTTAGTAGCGTAAAAGTTGAAAAATCAAATGTTTTGACATAACTGAACTTCTTTGATAGGCATTTAGAGGTTGGAGTACTAAGTAAGGATAAGATTGTAATAAAGAAGTTGTTCATCCATATTTTCTTATCCTTACTTATAACTGAACTGCTGTGAATAGTAAATCTTTCCTGGATTGTACTAAGGAATATGGTTAATACTTGAGACAGGGATTTGGTGGTACATTTACTAGCCCCAGTAAAATGTATCTCTCTTTGTACGGATCTTCTATGAAGTATTGGACTGCAGTATACAAGAGGAAAAGCCATGTCTCCAGATTTTAGAGTCAAGCAAAATGTTGATAGTACTGATGCTTGATCCGGGCAGATTCGTTTTCCAGTTAACATACTGGCCTCATATATGACATTATTGATATGTCATTGATCATTGATGCTTACATAGGATGATATTATTTGAGGACTTGTCATGAGATGAGGAACAACTACAACCTGTGGGGCAGCCAAGCTTTGGAAGTCAGCTGGCTGGGACAGAATAGTTTAAGTCCAATTTTGTTTTCTCTATTTGAGGTTGCGCATTCTACTGACAACGTCATGCAGTGACTTCATCTTCTCTACTGTTCCATTGCCCATGGTTTGAACGTCTGATCTGGGAGACTTGTATAGCTTGAGACTGACTTTCGACTACTACATCACATTCGATAGGTGTATTACATTTAAAAACTGAGCCGTCCCACTACCATTTATAGCTGAATGCCCCCAAAATCATAACATATCAACCCATTTGACCTATTTAAACTAAATACTCAAATACCCACAAATTGGTGTCACAAACCTTTTGAAATTGAGAAATGCATGTTACATACTTCACTTTTTTCCATTCATATACAAGTATAATATCATGTGCTCAAAATGTTAAGTATTATACATAACAGTTCAACCAGTAAGACGAAATTTACACATTTCGAAACAACTTGATAAATTCAGTAGGATATCAAACCACAACATACAATGTACAATATTAGATACAAAAAGTTCTACGCACATGCTGTTTATAATTAACTATGTACTTTCGAAATATAAAACAATTAACGAGCAAATAACAAATTAACTTAAACATGCGTTCATAAAGGTTGTTTTACGTTGCAGAAATTTGCCCTGCTAATATTCGAGTCTGCGCCAGGCCAAACAATAGTTGATAGCACACGACAATTGGTGATTTTTAACTTTCACCAAAGTATACATGATTTTTTCTAATTGGAACCAAGCTCGTAGGTATCACGCATTAGTTAAAATACTTCAATCAGTGGTTCGATCGCTGGCCTGCATACCACAGACTCGATGCACGCTGAATCATCCGGTAAACCGTCTAACAAAGGTATGTCTGTGACGTTGATACAGGTCAAGTATAAGGTTAAGACGTTTGTATCACACATGCCTGTCCATGAACATCTGTTTTAGCCATAAGCTGCCATTTTCAGCCCGTGGCAGACAAGGATTACATAAATCATAAATCTCCACACAGTATTTACAATACCTTCTGAACCACACTGTCAACAAATGTGCTGGGATCATCCGAGTGTAAGATGACCTCACCCTTGCCCACCGCTATTACACACTGTGTGGAACTCCACTGCACTTACCTTTATTCCTACATACGTTGTAGGTAGTCGTGGGGTGCTCAGAGTTGGTAGCTTTTCCAAATTTATCGGCTTATTAAGCATGACTTTGGTTCCTATTTCTATGAAATCTGTCCCAATCGTCTTCGAAACAAAGGGAAAAGAACGAGATGCTCTCAGATTCAGTTCTATGACCTGAAAGTAAGATACCAATAATCAGAAAATGAAGGCAACATGCATCCCCATAAGAGAACATGGGCGCGGTGTATCATATAAGCTTTGACAGTGTTGTATTTTGAGGATTAAGATAATAAATATACACATAAATTGTATGTCGTTGTTCATTTGTAAGAATATCACAGTAAAGGGTTTTGGATTAACGTTTGAATATAACTCACAATACAGAAACGGAAGTAACGCACAACATAACCGCGTCAGGCAAAATCTTTTTGCACATTTGGCTAAAAAGGTGCATCGTTCTTTAGGTTGCAAGTTTGTAAGATTTTAACAACCAATCCTACGCTATCTGCAACGCAAAAGTTTAATACATAAATTGGGTCGCGGGCGGGATTAAGAAATATCTTGATTAAGAAATTGGCGTTTGCCGGGGTGTCCAAGTCTGTTCTTACCCCATTTCCGACCTCGAACATGTTCGAATCCTCAAAGGGTTTTCTTGTACCAACTCCGTAAAAATATGGTCACCGTAAATCGCCACTACGAAATTGGCGTGTTCCAGGGGTGTCCCAAATATTAATCAAATATTACCACCAAGCGGTGTTACTTTTAGCATGCAACCATGAACAAACAAAAAGATGCATATGGCACACTAACTTCATGTAAACTTTCAATAGTTTCTGTGGAGAACCTTTCAAGATATGATCTTTAAAGTAAAATTCCGGTGAAAAAATCCAATAGGTCCGTCGCTATATAAGATATCCAAAATCGGCTAACAGAGTTTGATGTGTTATGTATGGAGGCAACTCTCAGAAAGTTTGAAAGCATTTCATGCAATGGATTCAGAGAAGAAGGGATTTGAAGACAGGTACCCCAAAGACACTGTGAAAACCTTGAATCCAATATGGCTGCCAAACCATGTAACCAATGACCACAGTCAAAAAACAAAAATTGTCAAGCACCCAAAGCATCAGACACATCCAAAGTTTGAAAGTAATCGGACATGCGGTTGCGAAGCAATAGGGCAAAATATAGCTTTAAAAATTGCTTGTTTTTCCGTTATCTGGTCTTTAGGCCTACGGCCTTGGAATTTGTGTGGTATCTGGTACTGAAGTATCTGGATACACATACAAAATTTGAACAAAATCGAGCCAGTGAATATTATGCTGGCTCTGGTACAAAAGTCGGCGGAATAATAATAATGTTAAATCGAACGATAACACTGGGACTCTTCAGCCTTTCGGCTGTAACAGGCTGTAACCTCTTTGTCAGTTGAGCGTTCTGAGTTCGTCAGGGCCCCGGGTTTATGTCGCATTCCTGAGATAAAGTGCTAAACTTGTTTCCGACCTCATCCATATTCGAATCCCCAAAAGGTTTACCTGTAACAACGCCGTCAAATGTAAGGAACCGCTTGTGAGACATCAGTATTGTCAACCTTTAAGGGCTAGATACCCTGGTCGTTATATGATGGACAAGATAGTCTAGGAAACTGATCATATTGTACAAACCCCAGACCGTGGAAAACAAACATGGAAGCTGACATACTTATTGAACAATATCTGTACTTTGGCCATATCGACCTGAAATTAGTGAACTCATTATAGAAAATGGGCTCATATCCAATCTCAAGAATTGATGACTGTATTGACAGAATTGGTCAAGCAAAGTTTGTCAGGAAGATTTCTGCATTTGCCTCACCAGATGACCTGTATTAGTACACGGTAATGCCCATTTGGGTTCAAACAAGCACCGGCTAACTTTCTGGCTTACAAGATACAGAGACTTGCATTGCTGACATTATCAACCATTCGATTGTGTGACACGATCATCTAAAGAGTAACTCTGCCTTTTTTGAGCGTTTATCACAGTCAAATATGACTGTAAATCTGTCCAAGTGTGAATTTGACCAGGCCCATATTGTGGTTTTAATAATAAATAATAATGATAATATATTTGTACATCGCCTAACTTCCAGCTTGGCGAGCTGCTCAGTAGTACAAGGACTTAAGAACTCTGGTAGTGAGTACAGAGAAAGCCCTGATCTTTGCATTGGTCTGTGGTACATTAAGTTGCTGTGAGTCGGCTGGTCCCGACTGCTGATATCTGAAGATGAGACTTATTAGGTAGTGTTATTTATTGCTGCATGAGTGATAAATTTGGAACTCGATGGGCTGTTTTACAAGAATCCAGTGAAGGTTTTGACGGACTGGCGCTGTATGCATGCATTCTTTTATGTTTAATCCTCACTTAGATATGAGCGGGGCCATATTTTTTGGGAAACCTGTTATTTTGAGAGCACTTTCTAATCAAGAGAGAAGGATGTCATGGCCTACAGTGTCAAACGCTGCAGATAAACCCAACAGCAAACCTAGAACTATTTATTGATGATCCCTTGAACGAAAAACGTCATAAGAAACTTTAAGTAGTTCTGTTTCAGTGCTGTGTTTCTTTTGTAGGGCCGACTTGAGTTCTTCATTTAACTTGTTGTTTACAAAGTGTTAACTATCTCCTCAAGGACTTTTGAAATAAAGCCAGGTTTGATGCAGGACAATAGTTCTTGAATACAGATTGAACAAGCGATGCTTTCTTAAGGTTTCTTTGAAGGAAGAAGGTACCGTTCCATTGATTAGACACAACAGGTGTAAATCTATACTCTTCAAAAAAAGAAACTTGACACTGAATTTCAAAATGTAATATAATGCGATTGTTTCAAAATAGGACACAGAAACCATAATTGAAACACTGTTTCAAGATCAATGTACACAATGTTCAAAACATTAATCGTGTCACCTAGACAGACACACGTACACGATACAGTTAATGTCACAGGGGTACAGAAAATGTCAGTATCGGTTGTGCCCACCACGTGCATCAGTCACCGCTTGACACCGACGACCAATAGATGCAATCAAGTTGTCAATAACACGCTGTTTGATGTGCTGCCATTCATGCTGAAGTGCACCAAGAAGCGCCGGAAGTGTTTGGGGCGGTGGATTCCTTCTGCGAACGCGTCGATCCAAATCGTCCCACAGAAGCTCAATCGGGGACAAATCTGGTGACCGGGCTGGCCAAGGTAATGTCTGGATGTTGTTGTGCTGTAAGAAGTCCCGACGAACACGTGCAATATGCGGTCGAGCGTTGTCCTGCTGGAACTGTCCACAATGAACGTTGAGGTGAGGAAGAACGTAAGGCTATAGGATCAAATCTCTGTAACGCACACCTGTCAATGCACGAGAGGCGTCCTACCACCGTGATGAATTCCGGCCCATACCATGACACTCCCGCCCCCAAATGGGACAACCTGGAACAGGTCTTCGTGCAAAAATCCAGCCTCCCTCAGTCTGTTGCGTACCGTCTGATCTGATATTCTGCGTACCCCAGGGATCTGTGTGGTTGTAGACGTGGCTGTGGTAGTGCGGTCTCGGAGGTGTCGCAGCCGGATGTATCGATCTTGTGCTTGGGTTGTCAACCTTGGTCTTCCTGACCTTGGTCTGTCGTCAACTCTGGTGGTGTTGTTGTATCGGGTCCACAGTGCGGAGATTGTCTGTCTGGATACGTCAAAGTGCCTGGCCACTTCTTGCTGAGTTGCTCCAGCTTGTAATCTCCCAATGGCGTTGTTCCGTTGAGCTGCATTCAGTCTTAGCATTCTGTCACCGCCTCTACTGCCGTTATAAGGACTGTTGAACAGCCGTTGATCTGGATTTTTATACCCATTCAGCAGGGGGGCCCGCATGCCTAAATGCAGGATCCTGTGCTGCACGTTTTTTACAGGCGGTTGCGTTTGGATGAAGCTGTAAAATTGATCCCCAAATGCTACGTTTATGTGCTTTGCATGTGTTTTCGCGAATTATAGACACATCATATTTCTGTTTGACTTATTTGGTTCTCATTTAATGTAATTATTTTAGATATTTGGCAAAAAGTGCTTTAACATCTATGTCAAGTTTCTTTTTTTGAAGAGTATATGTATGTAAAGGATCGAGCTCAAAAGATTTGCATGATTCAACCCTTACAATATTTTTTTATTTCTCCAAAGCTTGTTTCCTGAAAACATGGCATGGGGATGTCTGTAAAAGGTGTATCGTGTGTTGTAGCAGACGGCTGTGCATACCGATTAGATCCTTATGATCAATTTTTTTCTAAGAAAAATGTGGCAAAATATTTTGCCATGTCATGTGACTCTGTAAAGTGCATAGTGATGGCGATCAGTTATTTTGAGTTGATCCTGTTCTCAATGACTGATTGTCTTACGTGGAACACTTTTGCCTTTTGGATGATGTTGTTGGCTTTGTTTCTTGAAGAAATGAGTGTTGGATTTGATGAAGTACAGTAAACCTCGTCTTCAGGTGAGATTTTCCAGGAAAATAACCTCAAAAGAACAGATAATGTCATTTCCATAATAAGAACATGACCGCTCCCGTGTGTAGGCTGACAAGACATGCTGGATTAAACAAAGCCTGTGAAGAATATCCAGAAATGATGACTTACGAAATACAGATGAATAGTCTCTAGTTTGTTGGATGGCGTCAAAATAACCAGATCATCTTTGTTTATTCCTCTTTCTGTTGGTCAGCCCCGTCTTCTGGGCTTTGGCCTGAAGTAAGTTTTGTCTCAATCAATGACATAACTAGTTTGAGTCCATTGTACAGAGGGCTACCAAAGACGTGTTGCTGTCGATAATAGGTCACCTACCAGTATCCGTGATCAGTTTGTGTAGGGTCTGCTTGGTTACAGATCGATATATCCAAAAAATATAGAAAATAAATGTAACATCTAATTGAGCAAGTGCGCAAAAAAACTAAACCAGTCTATGCAGGTAAACAGTACATATTGAAACGAAATAAGACACCCAACATAATGTGTTTTTATTTTATCCACCGGTAGTTTGCCAAGTACGTTTCTAAAAGCTGGTAAAGAAAACCACGCAAATATTTTGCTGCGTTATTAGTTTTATAAAATACACAAAGTAATCCCACCCCCACCCCCCACCCCCCCCCCCCCCCCACCCCCCCCCCCACCCCCCAATTCATAAATTCATAACGAGAAGAAATGTACCTGCACTGACCTTCACATCACTGTCCTTCACAAGAAACTGAATATTGAATGGCCCAGAAATCAAAAAGTGCATTGCAATCTTTTCTGTGATGTCACGGATCTGGAACAAAACAATACAACTATATACACAGACAAGGGATGTGTATCAGCTCTGTCGCAGGTAGCTCCATACAATGTCGATGGTGTCCTGGACTCGATTTAACTTTACTTTTTTGATTCGGGGATCCATAATGTCATGGTCCCTAAGCCAGATTTCTAAGTACAAATATTATACACATGCTAGTGTCAGAATTCCCCTATCTGAATATATACTAGTGTTCACCATCCAACGAGCGATTTGTTGTTGTATGTTAGTACAAGTATTTCAAAGAACGGTAACATAGAGCCGTCCCTAGTATACTATATGTTGAAACACAAGAAATAAGGAAATTTAAAAATTCTAAACGATATACCAGATTTGTTAACACATGTGTTTATATCTTGAACTGGCGGTTTGTTTGCTAGCAACACACTCGTCTTCGTGGCTTTCCTTGTTCAACGTCTCCTCTGTTCATAGCGGCGTTACCCAAATCACTGAACTAAATCATTTCACCTTTCACAAACTCCTAGAGAAAGAAGAAGTGGTCTTGTACACTGGGACAGGGGTGTGTCCATGTCTTTAACAATATGAACATATATTTTCCAAAAGAATTAGGGGATCATGAAATATCTTAAAATATGACTGCCAGAGAGCCAAAACATAATTCCCCAACACACCCAAAACACCATGCAATTCGTCCGCGCACGTGGGTAGGGGTGCATTCTTGACTTCACTGAAAGGTCGTCAAATCGGTCTGAGTCATTAGTAGTGTTGATTTTCATTATCCACAGTAACACAGAGGCTCTGTATTACTGCTTTAACGCAGTAGGTGTGACCAGATTGGGAATGTGTGGTCTACAATGTGATGAACGCCTGACAGCTATTGGTATGCTTCAAACTGGTAGAACTGTACCAACGTTACATATCGACACATTCTAGCCAATGGTGTTTCGAGCGTGGAAACTGGGGAAATAGACGATGGTCTCATGTCATGTTTTCAGATGAGTCCAGATTCACTCAGGACTAGATAGGCGTGAACGTGACTGGAGGCGCCCTAACAAACGTCATTGGAACGTAAACGGACGGCAACATGACAGATTTGGGGGGTGGATCTGTAATGACATGGTGCGGGATTACTATGACTGCCAGAATGCCACTGCATATTGTCCAGGGAGGGTCACTGGACACTCCTACCGATGCAGGATACTAGAGGCAATAGTTGTCCCGTTTGCGCGCCATGCTGGTCCATGTTTTGTCCACAGACGCCTGTCGTCTTTCTTGTTTTGCAACCTTACAATAAACCGCCAACACGTTTTCTTGATTGATTAGTCCTTCCTTTTACCTATGCATCCATTTCCATTTTGTATTTCTGGCATCATCTGTTATTTTCGAATATCCACTACATTTTGTGGATAGTATATATTATGTACATGCAGTATGGAATAGAAATGAATGTTAAGGAATAGTGTGTGTCAAACATCTTACCACAGTCAGGGCTTCTTCACTTATTGTTTGTGTCGGCAGAATCAATGTCGCATCACCACTGTGAACACCAGCGTTCTCCACATGTTCACTTACAGCATGGCTAACAATCTGAAAGCCACTGAACCATGTATCACTGACACCAGATGAGACGTGGGTTTTAGTAAGTTACACATATCTTTTGAATAATTACAGTGAACTCTCTTAATACATAAAATGTACATTTAAGTGTCTCGGACAGTCCGACTACTTACTTAATCGGCTCATACGATAATCAATAAAACATTTGGAATTAAACATGGAATTTATATTTGGGATTACACGTTCTTAGTAAATTAGTCCAATCGGGTATTCGAAACCACACTTTCAGTGTATGGCATGGAATCAACAGCACGCAAAGTCAACGACCTAACCCACTCAGCTCATCACGCGTCACATAAAGTCCGATAATTTGTAGTCTAGACCACGTACTTTGTGTACCCCTCTGATAAGTGTAAATTGGCTACGACGGCCGGATTCGAATCCCAGATGGTACTCCAGCCCAAAAATAATAGTTTTTTGTAATTACTAAAGAAAGTGTAATCCTAAATATAACATATGTTACATATGACCACTTTCTTAAAGTCCTTGCCTATTCATCAGGAAGCTATTCCACACTGGAATCCCAACGAGGTCTTTCATACATACTGTAAATGTTTTTGGGGTTAACGTATTTCTTCACGAGTATCACCGTGACAATAATTTTGATACATGACATAAATGATCAAAGGACTTTATAGATACATGTACAATTCTAGCCAACCCTTAGATACATCTGATAGAGTCAAAAACAGACTACATGAGCATTGTGACCTTTGACAAATGAATATCCTGCAGGGGCGTTGAAAACATCGAAAGATATATATGAACAATCTACTGAAAAATATGTCAAATGTTTATAACAGTGGCATTTATAATGTTGAAACAAGTACGTCAATGTGCATGTTTGCAGTGACAAACAGATAACTTACAACTCCATCAGAAGCAATCGCATCCATCTCAACTTCACGAGATCCAGTGTAGAATTTTGTTATGACAACTGGGTATTCGTTTGAAATCTGCGCTGCTTCTTGCAGGTATCCGTTCAACTCCTCAGGTGTGTACGCCACATTCATTGCTGAGCCACTGAGAATGTAGGATGGCCTCAACAAACAAGGGTATCCAACAGTTGCAGCAAAGTCTAAAGCTTCATCCTAGATGGGAAACATGTTTATTCATAAATATTGGACAGTTACATTGTACGAGTTTTGTGAATGAATAAATGCCACGCTTAAAAGACGTTAGTTCTCGAGTAAAGGGTCTTTAATAAGAAAATGTCCAAAACTTTTAACCTGGTGACGGATTATACTGAGCCACCCTCAGGAGGTAATGTATTTCCACATAGCAATACTCGCGACATGCCCATCTCATATCTTGTAAGTGAGTTAGTGAGTGAGTGAATTCACGTACCAGTTTGGTGAGGGACCTCCACTCAGGCTGGCGGATGCTAAGAGTGTCACATATAGCGGAAAACACTGGTCTATTTTCAGCGTTGTCTATCATGAGTGCGCTTGTACCCAGGATTCGCACTCCTCTCTTGTGAAGAGGAAGGGCCAAGTTGTTGGGGATTTGTCCACCGACAGATACTATAACTCCTTCACAGCGCTTGAACATAGTCCACATATCATATTCCTATCATATAATCACATGAGCAAATAATACCTGTACTTTATGTTCCGTGCTCAGGTAGGCAACGACAACATATACTCACACGCAAAAGAAAAGCAAGTCGAGTATGCAGTATACATGTTATTTATTTTCAACAGTAAAGACAAAAATTGATTGACAAAAATTTGACTGAAGACAGTTTAATGGATTAAAAGGCAGATGACATAATTGTGGTTTTTTCAAATGTTAAGGGCTTACACAGTTTCGGGTCAATACCCAAAATGTCAGTCAATACCTGGTGTGACCACCATTAGTATTGATCACTGCCACACATCTCCTGTACACTGAGTGGATCAGACGATTTGTGAAGGCCCTAAGGATCCACCTGCACACATCCAGAGCAGCTGTGCGTAGTTCATCGGCAGTTGTAGGGACTGGACGCACATTGTGCAGACGCCTTTCAACCTCATCCCACAAGTGTTCGATGGGGTTCAGATCAGGGCTGAGGGCTGGCCACGGTAGAACACGGATGTTGTGTTGTTGCAGAAAGGCCATGGTAGCTCTGGCAACATAGGGACGAGCATTGTCCTGCTGGAAAATGTGTTGTTGATGTTGTGCAAATAATGGAACAACGTGGGGTCTGATCACTTGGTCGATATACCGCTGAGCAGTGACGCCGTGTCCCCGACCTTGACCAACATTCAGAAAGCACATGGGTCCAAGTCTCACATTAAGTCCAATCCCTGCCCATATCATGACGCTAGGTCCACCCCATGGATCCCTTTCAACAACGTTTCTGTCAGCGAAACGATCACCTCGACGCCGCCAAATTCTGACTCTTCCGTCTGCATGGGAGACACAAATGCGACTTTCATCAGAGAAGATGTCACCCCTCCACTCACGATGACGCCAATTGCGATGACCCTTTGCCCACTGAAGTAGTGCTTGTCGATGCCGTGGTTGGAGAACAGGACGACGTGCTGGTCGGCGACATCTGAGGTTGTTGGAACGGAGAATCGGATCACAGTGTCCCGGCTAATGTATATTATGTGTTCCTATGGTCTGTCGAGCACTTTCACTTGCAGTTAGGAACGGATGTCGCTGGTGTTGACGGGTAATCTGCCGATCTTGTCGAGGTGTGGTGACCCTAGGACGACCGCTCCGAGGAAGGTCATCTGTGGTCTGTGTTCAATCAGTTTATTCGGTAATAAGGCCTCAGGCCCACGTACAATGTGGTCTGTGTTGTATTGTATCGATGCCGGAGACGGTAAATTGTGGTTATGTTAACGTTGAAATGACGGGCAACATCTTGGACAGACTCTCCAGCTTCCAAACGTCCGATAGCCTGGTTTCTCTGTATTTGAGTTAGGCGTGGCATTGTTGACCAAGGAGTGGTAGGTCCAAGAATCGGCCACAGTTTAATACCCACTACAGTTCGTGACAGTTCGTGCATTTTCGATTTTGCGAGAAATGGGTGCATGATACCCACATATTCATTGAAATGGTGCGTTTTGGCGATTCGTTTTTTATGTTGCGTTTTACTCGGGGCTTCCAAAATGCGACCATAAATATTGATAACACCATCAGGCTTCACTACATGCCAAAACTCGTATCAATTTATGGTTTCGTGTTTGTTACCTATTTGCTTAAAAACACTTGCGTTTCTTTTGCGTGTGAGTATATATACATATTCACAGGGGGCGGTCGGGTAGCCTAGTGGTTAAAGCGTTCGCTCGTCACGCAGAAGACCCGGGTTCGATTCCCGACATGGGTACAATGTGTGAAGCCCATTTCTGGTGTCCCCCGCCGTGATATTGCTGGAATATTGCTAAAAGCGGCGTAAAACCATACTCACTCACTCACTACATATTCACAGTGACCTCAACTATATAATACAAGTCCCTCAAAACCACACCAATTCTTCATCTTCAGGATGATATGTAGCAAGATCTATCTGCCTGCAGTAACCTCGGGTTAGCATGTAATATAATTTTTAGTCTTGTCCGCCCAAATCACCTTCAATATAAATGCCATACAGCAGTTAATCAAAACACAATATGAAATACGTGCAATTATCAGAGCAGACGCAGCGTATATAGAGGAGAACAGTGGTGTACAGCACCCACTAATGAATGTGAACACCTGCAGCTGCTATTTAAGAAGCAACTTGGGTTGGGTACTCCAGTACAAATGTTTAGCGCATAGGCCCAATTACATCACTTCCAGTTTGTGAATATACATGTCTAATAAAGTGCGAATTGGTCAAAGTTCCGTTCATCTAGCGACCATTAAAACTAGCATTAAACCATTATCTACAGCATATGGTTAGCCTTGACCATACTGTTAACTGATAAAAAGAGGTTTATAACCAGCATGATGGATGTATCAAATATTCATTCTTGCTGGATCTTTGGTCACCTCATGACAGTGTTATTTGATATAACTAGGACATATTCATCGTATAATCTGTTTCCATTCAGTTTTCACATATTGTAAACTTTAAAATTTGATGCATTTGACAAGTAATCCCCATAGCAGTGAAAACAAGCATGAAATACTCATATCCCATGCGTGGACACATGTCCGGTTGTGTGCAATGCATTAGGTCTTGTGAAGTATGTTCACTGGACCTTTTTGTAAATGGCCTAATTGCAGCACTGAAAAAGTAATTACTGTTGTTGCATCTGTAGTTTATGATAGAATACATAACTATACACATGCACAAAAGTTAAGTGCCACCATATTCATAGTCTCTTGATTTCGCGTGTGGGAATCAGAAATACGAAATCTGATGATGTATGACTGAATTAGGCTTCCATAGTTTCATGAACCCAAATTTATCCAGATACCACAAGGAAAGCGTGCTTTACGTGTTGCTGCAGTTCCCCTACCCTATAAATAGTGAAATTCAAGTTTCAGACACGTGGTTGCATTTTGCTCCTGTGTGAGATTCCCCTTCCAATAGAGGTTGAAAATCAGCCATGGTGAGGAGAAAGTTAACGAACGCTGAAAGATGGCAAGTGATAGGCATGAAAAATGCTAGCATGTCATGCAGGAGGGCCATTACAAGACAAATGGGTCGTCATCACAGTGTTATCACTCGTTTGATTGTCAAACATGGTCAAACCAATGATGTCAATGACAGGCATAGGTCTGGTAGGCCAAGAAAGACCTCTAACAGAGAGGATAGACGTCTTTTCAGGATAGTCAGACGAAATCCATTTGCCACTTCAACAGATTTAAGACTGCAGTGGGTTACCCATCAGAGACTCTCGACGATGACCGTAAGGCGTCGCCTCAGAGCGGCTGGTTATAACGCCAGAAGACCAATGGCACATGCGGAATCGTCTGATATGGTGTCGGGCCCGTAGTCGATGGAACTTGGCCAACTGGAGAAGGATCCATTGGTCTAACGAGTGTCGAATGCTGCTACGAACTGTTGATGGTCGAATACGTGTTTGGAGGCAACGTAACACTCGTTTTACGCCGCTTTTAGCAAGATTCCAGCAATATCACGGCAGGGGACACCAGAAATGGGCTTCACACATTGTACCCATGTCGGGAATCGAACCCGAGTCTTCGGCGTGACGAGCGAACGCTTTAACCACTAGGCTACCCGACCGCCCCCTTTTGGAGGAACATACACACAAGCAATGCAGAACTTACCAACAAGAAAGGAAATGTATTCAATACTGCAAGATAACATTATGTGCCAAGTTTGGTGAAGAAATATGCTGCGTTTTCAACATCTGCTACGGAAACGAGGACTACCGACATTTCCAGTCTAAGTCAATCGTTGCCATGGAAACTCGAAAAAAAGATTTTGGGCTAAAAATCCCAAACTATCAAAAGGCACCAGTTCACCACTAGAACTATCTATGTGCCAAGTTTGGTTAAGATATCTCACATGGTTTTTGTGTTCTGCTCTGGAAACGAAATGTGACGGACGGACGGAATGACGGAAGGGCAGACGGACGGAAGGACGGAAATACGGAAGGACGGAAATATGGACAGACGGCACCCATTCCTATATCCCCCTTCCACTTCATGGCGGGGGATAAAACCGATACGAAGTATGAAAAAAAGTTTCAGAAAAAACAAAAGCGGAAGTAGCACAATCAAAACCTTTTCAGGAATTCCTCAAAACTATACCATACACTTCCAAACCTACGTAATTAGAAATTAAGTCCGGTCTGTAATTTCATTTTTTAGAAAACACATATATACTCAACCAGGATTTAATTTCTGAAAGTATGATACTTCTATGTAGCTTAGACACTGCATTAACAGAAACAACAACCAAGTTTTAGGAACAGATAAAGTAGCTGGCAATCATGATACAATCCCTATTCCCATTGACGTTAATGATAAGATTAATCTTTTGCAGACATGATACTGACATCTGTTTGGTGTTTAAAGCCACACTCAACAATAATCCAGCTATGTGAAAAACATCTGGACCAGTCAATCCAGTGACTTAATTCATGAACATCGATCTACGCAATTGGGATAGGATGACAAATATCAACCAAGTCAGCGAGCCTGACAACCCGATCCTGTTAGTCAACTCTTAGGACAAGTTTGGGTTTTTGCAGAGCAATTCTAACCCGAAACTTCTCGGGTATGGTAAGACTACATGCAATAATCAAATATAATGTATGAGGCCCCATCCTCGAAATGCTACTTACTACCCCAAGAAAGAAACGCAAGACTAGATGAGTGATGAGGTAGTAGCAAACAGTGGACGTTTTCAACATGAAGACATTTCACGAAACATGGCAACTGTCAGGGTCAAGACAATGTTTTGTGTTTCCACCACTAGCATCAAATACTGCCAGGCATATCCTGCCCAAGGACGAAATATGAGTATGGATCACACGTTGTGGTTTCGTTGGAATGTTGTTGTTTCACGTGCAGTTTACAATCTAATACTGCAGTGATGAAAGATGACTTTAGCATAGTTCATAAGGGGAACAACGTGCGGCTTTAGGATTTCATCACAAGGGCATTGCTCTGGCTGCCTTGCACTTGCATCAGATCTACCAGTTTGGGAAACAGCCACTCAATCTGTCGAACTTCCATATACAGTTACTCTGGCATTCCCATCAGTACCATGAGGCATGTATCTTGACTCGTCACTGAACCAAACAGTTTTCCATCACTGGTTAGACCATACTCTGTGTGCTTGACGACACAGTTGATGATGTTGTTGCATCACGACAATACCTCTGACAGGCTGTCTGGCTCGGACACCTGCCTCATGAGGGTTTTGTACTCTCTGGATTCGCAATCCTGGAAGTGAGGATACTGCTGGAAATGGCTGAGTCGTTTGAAACGGTGCTAGGCAGCCCTTGTAACATGTGATCTGTCTGTTTTGGTTGGTACAGATACCAAAGGAACATGTGGAATGGCCAGGTTTCAGCTGATTGCGATTCTCCTGCTCCCAAGTGTGCAACGACGTTGTTTGTTGGACTTCAGACAAACATTTATCCCAAGATTCTCATGCGGTGTTATTTGTATTGTTATGTATGGGTTATGAATATGGAACCAAATGACATCAAATTCATGTTTCACATAACGTTATCCCAAAATATTCCATATATATACACCAAATATCACACATGCATTTTTGAGGGGTTAATGATATCATTGATGATAAAAACACTAGTTTGAGGTCTTCTTAATGTAACCAAAATTATAAGTTATTTTGTCTTCGTGGGATATATATTTAAGTATGCAACTTGGTTTAGTTACTACAAGCGCCATGGGGTAAAAATATCTAGCCTACTTTAACTACAGCTCGTATGTGAAATCAGCTTACCTCTTGTTCGTTGATGTCCAGTACCCTTTCCAAAGACAATTCTTCGAAGTAGAGACGGTCACATTCATCAAAATCGGTGCTGACAGTTTCCGGATTATGGTTCACAACAACCTGTCAACAAAACATCACAAACATAATGAACTGATGAAAGTTAATGTGCTATGACACTTCCTATACCTGATTTATAAAATGCTTTCAGGTGACAATAGTATAGGCCTGCCTATTTCATGTGAAGGCTGCACCATACATCCGCTGCAAGAAAGAAAAACTGAAGCACACATAAATATAGAATACAAAGCGAGCTCATGGGTAATACCCATTTTATGAAACGAGTGAATAGTTGTGGTATCTGACTCGCTTTCGCTCGTCAGATACCACAACTATTCATGAGTTTCATAAAATTGGTTTTACACGAGAGCGAGTTTAGTATTTTATTTATTACTTGCCATTAGAACAGTTTTAGAATTATACTGTTGAGTGTGAATAGGCTGACACCTACACGAACAACGGCATAGTCCAACTGAGTTTAACAGAATAATACTACAAACACGTCAAAAGTTGAAACGTTTGAATTTAATACCATACAACGGTCCACCTTTAGAATTCACAAAATTATCGTAGGGCTAAGACTATCGCAACTCACATACTTTAACTTAGATTAACGACTGTCGTTGCGCTGCAATACGATCGCCTTGTGGAACGGGCCTTGCACCTCAAAGTTTACAATAACGTCACAATACCCGATGACGTAATTTGTGGAATTGTGTTTGTGGATCCATCGGTGAAACAATGCCATGTGACGTCAGCCTAGCAACAGGGCTGCTTGGGTCATCGAGTGTGCATAAGCTCCTCTCAGTGATCTATCAACTCCACACGCAATGTCGTTGAATAAGCCAAGGGATGTTGAGAGCTTTCAATATTTGTTCGTGAAACGCGATCCGAGAGTACATAAGCACGCGTTTTGGTATTACACAATGTATAACACAACTGTATGTTTATTAAACGTGTGATCTCTTCACGGGCAAGTAATAAATACACATATACACATTACAATGATGTGGTAAATTCAACAGAAGCCGTAAATGTTTCCGTCCTGTGCGACGCCATGACTGACGCTAAATCACGCACAACGATCGTTTCATAAAATTGGTTTTACACGGGAGCTCGTTTAGTATTCTATTTTTCCATAATTAGTGCAACGATAATCTTCCCATGAATATTCCCAAACGCGTGATCGAGCCAATGTATGCAACAATTAGACGAAAGTACCTCTAAAAATGCTACACAGTGTAAAATCTGAATTTTGCTTTGTTTACATTTCAGCAAGTACAGTTTTCCGAGCACAGTTTTCGTTTCCATACCTAATTTATTTCGCATGATTTCATCTAGATAATTTGCATTGGTGACAAAGACCCTTTTATCCATTGTTTCAAAAATGTATGAGGAATTCGGGGATGCATGTATAGCAGCTCAGTTTGAAATATACCTGATCGAATAGGCGTCTCATAACCGGCATTTTGTAAACACCATCCAATCCAATATGGCGGAACAAACACTTCGGCGTTCGTGTATGCGTATTTTCCAAAACATTCTAAACGATTCTCGGCTTATCAGCGACGTTTCAGAATTATCATCAGTGATTTGATACCCATGATCGCTAATATTCTTTTTTTCTATTTTAATTATTCGAGTAAATATCCGATATTCAGATTTCTAAACACACAATAAATATTTATATAACGCCGTGAATTGTGATTTTGCGAGGTTGGCAATGTATCTAATTTTCAGAAGTCACTTTCATTATTTTTGAATTGCCTAAAATGACAGTAAATGATAAACAGAAGGGGGAGTTAAAAACTGTGCACATGAAGTGTATTAGTCTGCGTGATGTATTTTGAATTTTATTCGATTTCGAAGTGAGGGTTGAAGAGGAGGGACATAGGTGTCGCTGTGGCATCCAGGGGGTTTACACTCTGAAAAAACGATAATGTTGACATAACAACAGATAATGTAACTGATAATAATACCAAACAAACTCGCAGACGAGGACGAGTTTGTTTATTTTTATTATTAATTACACGGTCCCGTTGTTCACTACGGAGTTAAAAATGTTATTATGTGTTCTTTGAACTTAACTGTTTTCTTTCCAAGATCCCGCAGTGTTCTGATGCAGGAAACGGCGCACCAATCGAATTCAACGCTGCTTCCGATGTGATACGGGCCGCATCCCAAAACCATGCAGCCATGATCCTTGAAGGATACATCATGTTCCTGGAACAGTATCGTCATCCTAAACACCAAGTTGCCATCAACAAGGTCTTTCATAGATCAGTTCACAGAGTTCTTAAATGAATATAAATATGTTCTTAGTTATTTATGAAATATCATGCAAACCAAACGATACATAGAATACAGTATTGATCTGATACAATCTAGGGACGGTTGGAATCCTAGTGGTTAAAGTGTTTGCTATCTCATGGATCATACAAAGTCCAATGCAACACATGGTTTTCACTGCATCATTTGTTTTACTTAATCTTATTCAAATCTTGTGTTGCGACTCAGCTACCTTTATATTAATTCGATGTGTCGATCTGATGTTCATCCCGATTAAGGAAGAAAGAAATTGTGGTAAATCTACGCGAATTAGTATATCGACTCATTTTGTTCTAAACCATCAGATATACAATGGAACAAAATACTCAGCCCACCATGCCATTATAGGTGCAATACAGGTAGTTGGTTTGGGCCGGATATTCAGCTGCCAGCGTGTCTATCTGAAAACGAAAAACATATTGCCAAGGCACATCTTAAAATACAATCAAGGATAACCACCGCAGTGGCTGTTTACGTGCCCCTACCCTGTTTGGAATCGTCTTCGCAGTTATGCTGAAGCATGTCTTTGAACCCTCAACCTTTAGAGCCTACCTACACGGATGGGAAGCTGCTCAATCTGGCTTACTTGAAGGAAAAAACTAAAGTCTGTAAAGCCCTCATGAGAGACATGATTTTCGCAGATGACCCGGCACTTGCAACCCACTCTTCAAAGACAAAGACAAGACTAGACAAACGCTTTGGACAAAGTTGTCGAGCATCCTACAGCGATCTCCATTTACAAATACGAGCTGGAGGTGGTGAATCAGTTCATTTATCTCGGCTCCACCATCACAGACAATCTGTCCTTGGATGGTGAGATCAACATGTGGATGAGCAGAGCATCCATCCACCAACCTCGCCAGACCGAGGAAAAGAGTGTGGGAGAACAGCAAGCTCACAACCCACACCAAGGTTGCTGTCAAGAGAACCTGCATCATAAGCACATGGCTGTACATCAGCAAGTCTTAGACCCTCTCATTTGGCAAGAAAGGAACTCAATGCCTTCCGCATGCCCAGTGTAGGGCGCATACTCGGAATTAGCTGGTGTGACCAAGTCACAAACACTGAAGTTCTTTCCCACGCCACAATATGAAGTCTCTTCGCCATGTATCTAACATAAGTGGCTTTGCTGGCCGTTGCATGAAGGACAACACCAAAGCTCGCCTCCAAGTTCAAGTGCATGTGCAAGCGGGGCATAGAGGTAATAATTGAGTCCCTATTTACGTCAAAAAGATAATTGATCCATACATTGTTCTGTTGCAAAGTCGTTCTTTGTTCGGTTATTTATTATTTTCCCTGGTAGTCAGAGATGCACAGGATCTTTTTCCTTTTAGTGTCAGCGGAAGTGAATTGGCTATTTGACTGTTATTGAACGATAACAGATCATTGATATACCTTAAAGTGCAACTCTCATAGGTATATACACAACTTTGCAGACATTGAAAGATCGTAACATTGTTAATGCAAATATCACATTCAAAAGTGGCGCGTACATAAGGTTTATTTGCATTTTTGTCCTGCCTATCAAAATACGAAAATACAGTAGAGGCGGAGGCTTTATATACAGAGGCTCCATATGTGGAAATTACCCCCAAAACCTCCTCTCGAAATTGCACGAGCTACCTCGAACATTAGACAATTAAACAACGATAAATTGTGCACTGTACTTTCCTTTGTATGAGTGGGATTAAAGGATTGAAATAAACTCCTCCCTCTTTCAAAAACGGAAATGTGACAAATGCCATTCACAAATAGTTCACTATTCACAATGTGCAAAACATACCATTACTTCAATTGCGTTTATTGTTAGCGTTTGAGGACGTTCATATATTTCGTTGTGAGACTTTTCTGTGTCTAAAATATTCGATGATCTGTGTAAAAAATGATGAAGCATCGACCATACTTTCTTCGTCCCTTTTTGTGTGTATCCTGATCACAACATTAAGATATGTCCAACTCTGACTGTGACACTAGTTTTCGAGTTATCATGGAATGTGAATATTTCTCGGTTTCTGGTCGGAAGAAGTACAAGTAACACATTCATGTACCTGTGACCGACAATAGTGGCCATTTCGGAAGAAGTACAAGTAACACATACATGTACCTGTGACCGACAATAGTGGTAATTTCGGAAGAAGTACAAGTAACACATACATGTACCTGTGACCGACAATAGTGGTAATTTCGGAAGAAGTACAAGTAACACATTTATGTACCTGTGAACGACAATAGTGGTCATTTCGGAAGAAGTACAAGTAACACATTCATGTACCTGTGCCCGACAAAAGTGACGAAAATAATCAAGATCATCCCTATCTTGGACGCAAGGATTACAAGTGATTGCAAAAAAAACACAGATTTGTTCGTTTGCTTTGTATATTTTCCCCAAATCACAATATCCGGTTGTAGAATTACATGCCTGAGTGTTTTATTATACCTTGACTGACTGCTGGCATACATTATGCAATAATCTACCGCCATTACATGTTGTGAGATGAATGACTGGCGATGAGAAGAATACCATTCTGGTTAATTATCATTAACTGGAAACACAGATCAATCGATGTTTATCTTTATAACGTCACGGATTCAGGATTTGGGTGTGGAACCAGCGCCCCTAAAATTGAAAAGGAAAATATTTTATGATGTTAAAGTTATAAAAATCACTTTAAATCATAACTTGACACGCACACACTAGACATTCTCGTATGTTCTGTGCCTGGCAGGTGGTAATATCCAATTAAATTGCAGTCTTAACCGGTCGTGCTTATTAAGCAACGCCTCCTCGTTACCGCTTTTAAGATTCGTTAAAGACCTCAAAATACGTACTCTTAGTTAATCGCAACAAGGCTAACTTTACGACACACTCTTTTCTCTGCCATCGTATTGTACATCATACTGGCTACAAAATGATGAAGAAAAAATTCATACTATTTTTCATGAGGCCAAATTCCCTTGTTTTGATTTTGCAAATCCGAGCAGAAATTCCGATTCATATGCATAAAAAAGAGATCAACAAGGAGGGGAGCACAATTGATGACCACCTCTGCCTAAATGCCTTACACCAAAATGTTGCATGGACGTTGTCGATGAGAAAGTCCCTCATTTCACATATTTTTGTCTCAGTAAACTTAAGATGACATTTGCTTATAATATAAATAAGTCCCCCCATAATTATATTAAATGGCAATAAAATTGAAACGATGTATTTGCGATTTTGTTGTGAATATAATTTTTTATAGACAATGAATTCAATTTCCGAGAGAAAATAATTGATAACATTTGTAGAAAAAATTTTAAATATCCAAGTGATAGATATTACACGCTCCGTAATCGGCTTTCAAAACAAACATATTTGGGGACGTGGCATAACGAAACCGTTGGAGCGGTGTGTGACAAATATGTTCATTGGCTGATATGTAGACTTGATTACAGCGTCTATCTACTTCGAGAATCTATCTTTGATGTAATGCTTCGCAGATGTACGGATATGCCAGGAAGCGGTCAGCCGCAACTCAAACATTAATCAAGAGATGTGTCTATTTCTGTGTTCTTACCTTGAGTTGAAACTGCTCCGGGCGTCAAACACCGGGAATCCAGTTTATCCCGAGAGCTGGACATTTTCCTCTGACATTTTATTATGGTTTGTTTTACGCAATTTTCGTTTTTCAAATATAACTTCAGTCATGCATTTGTGATTAAGTATGTCCTAAAGTATTAAACCTGCAAGGTTGCTATGTTGAGTTTATTTGCCCTTTAAGGATTATGATCCTGCTATCTTTGAGATCTTTGGTGCACATTTGATGGATGCAGCAATATATCTCCCTTTGTACGGATGTTTTAGTAAACTTTGGACCCAGTGCAAAAGAGGCATGGACAATGTCTTCAGGTTATAGAGCCAAGTCAAAACTTGATAGTATTGATGTATGTTTGTTTTTTTAGATTTCTTCCACAGTTAACATTCTGTCCTACAATGTTGCATTTCTTCATATGTCACTTATACACAGCTCTTTGATCACGTAATTAATGTAGAAATGTTGACATATAATGGTTATGTTATTTGAGGCCTTGTCAGTGGGGAACAACTACAAACTGTTTGTGTACTGCCGACAAACTTTGGATGGGTTTGTTTCCTCTTTTTCAGTTTGTGTCTTTTCTCTTTTTGTCCATTGTTCAGCACTAATCATTTGCAAATGTTTTCGTCAAGGTATCTTCTCTATGTATTGTAATAAGTGAAAGTGACACCACCGCCACCTACAACATCAACAAGAAAACAAAGAAAAAAAGAAGAATGAGGACATTGCTAAGGAGCTGCGCGTACCTGTTTCATCCACGGTTTTACTGACATAGACAGTCGCATGCTGCGGCACTCCGCCTCATGAATTCCCAACATGTAGCCAATCTGCTTGTCCGAAAATCCCATCTGTTTCAAACATAACATGAGCTCTGCATTGACATCTGCCCTGAAACAAGAACACGGATCGGTTGAATATCACCATCTGTGGTAGAATAACCTAAAACATTTCACTGAAAACATAACATGATACACACACTTCCTTGAGACATGTTAATATAAATCATCTGGAATTCATGATGTCAGCCTTTCAGACCTCAGATCCAAATGTCCCCAGCTAACCAATGATACATGTACTTCCAGTTTGCTTATGCCCCTTCTGGTTTGTAGACTATACACGCCCATGAAAACAAACATTATTAAGAACAGTATAACATACTTAAGTATGGTTGCATGTCTCAAATGAATGCATAACCTTGAACACACCCTCGGTATTTAGCATGTATTTGGATGTTCAATGTCTAACTAAGAGAGGCTGGGCCTGTTCTGTATGTTCAATGACTCACACAGAGAGGCTGGGTGTGTTTTTGTATGTTCAAAGTCTATTTAACACAGAGAGGCTTGGCGTGTGCCTGTATGTTCAATGCCACATATCTTGTCAATATTCGTCCGGGTGTCAGGTTCTATACATACTAATTCTAGAAATAATACAACTGTACATGGTAATGTTTTTCTCAGATTATATTGGCGACACTTACTTTTGAACATTCTCCAGTCTCCTCTCTACATCAATAATGCCCAGAAGTTTGTTGAGAAACCATCGGTCTATGTTGGTAAGGGAGTGTATTTTGTCCACTGTGTAGCCGACTTGAAGGGCCTGGTGCATAGATAATGTGGTGGCGTGTTAAACACCGAACCTGTCTTCCTCATCCCACAACAAACAATGTGTGATAATTGCACTACACAAATCACAATGTATGCCGCAGTTGCACTACACACTTTATATGGCTGTTGAACCTTATAATACATACATATTTCATTTTTACTACACAGTATGTATCCAAATGGATATTTAGATAACCATCAACATTAGACAAATCTCATTGAGTACATAAAATGGTAGTACTAGTATTTAAGTGCAACTTCTATTCAATATTATGCTAAATAGATATTCGAAAACTGTCAGTATATGAAAAGCTTCAGAGTTTATTTTTTTGTGAAAATGTATACACTTAACATTCATTTCGTCATATTTGTCACGGCGTCGTACAATTATAATGGAACACAAGCAAGCACGAACAGATGAACAGTTCTTTCAGCCCCAGACTGACAGGTGTAGGAAAGGGCATTCGTGTATCGTTCGTTGTTAACAAAAAGCTCAGTATTTTCATATGTTCAAAATTTCAAAAGTTTAAATGTCTACGATTGTTTTTAAATCTTAAAAGTTTACAAGCATGCTTTATAGAAGGTTCCTCGGGGGCTTTCTCTTTGTTATCGTTGTTCTTTTCTCCATCCAGAGTCTTACTCCCAAATGAATACTTGGAAGGCGCATGTCATCCCAAAGCATGAAGCATAGAACCAACCTGAAGATGATTTACCTTCGCTATTGTGTGAATCCTTGTGTTGTTAGGCATTTGCAAGTTTGAGTCAATATCAAAATCTGCAGGGTACTGTTTTCCCCCTGGCAAGCGCTCTGTAAACCCCATACAAGATGGGTGTGTCATTCGCAGCGCTTTCTGGAGACTTTCCTCAAATGTCCTTCCTATTGCCATGACCTGGAAACATAGACGTTTGGAGATGTTAATGATGTTTAAAATATTATATGTTTAGTTCATAAGTTCATTTTAGCAGCAGTGCTTGAGAACACAGACACCTGTTTTCACTGACGCACGTAATGTGACACCAAACTGATGCTTAAAATTACTTAATTCGCCCTGCTTAAAATGAAAAACATTTGTATATGAATGTCGATTATCAACGACTTAGATGAGAATGTACGCGTTTAAATATATTGCATGACAAGACATATCGCGCAATTGGGTGACTTTCCCAATCAATGGAATAGTGAAACCCCTGTCCGCTTCACCCAACAATGTAAGTGACTACAGAATTGGAAAACATCCCCTCGGAGGCGCTAACGTATATCACAATAGTTTGTTAGATGATGACAGTTGATGTATGTCGTAGAAACATGTCGGGACTGAAATAAAGTACAGCTTTAACAGGAATATCATCATTACTTCTCCAACACTTTTCATAGCACTTCCAATCTCCTTTGACACATGCTGGAACCTTTCCATCTCCCAGCGAGGAATCTTCGTTACTATGTAATCAAGGCTTGGCTCGAAGCAAGCGGTGGTCATTTGGGTCGTGGTGTTTTGAAGGCTTGGGAGGTCAATGCCAAGAGCAAGTTTCGTTGCTATAAATGCCAGAGGATACCTGCCACAGGCCAGATCATATTAAGAACACATTGTGGATAAAGAAGAAGATATACTGTCACGACACTCGATATGAATTCAATAGTTTGAAATGTAAAAAACGGCAGCTTTCTAAGAAAAGTCGCTGTCAGCATAGGTATTCAAACATTTTCGGTATAAATACCGAGGACAAACAACTAACAAACAATCCACAGTGTTTCTATATTTGCAAGAATATGTGTACTATGTTGTAGAAGAGTATTGCAATGTATAACAGTTAAGTGTATTTTTTTTCAAAAAGTTTCAACTCTGGGCTATATGTTCCTTCTGAAAATTGTCCTAATGTCATGCAATCTTTCCTATCGTTTCATACACACAAAAACATCAAAATTTTGAAAAATATATATCATAAGGAGAGACATACGTGACAAAATTCAGCTACATTCGGCAATTTCAGAGGAGAAGATGTTTACAGATCCAATTTTAGAGATTTTAAGAGCATTAAATTACATTTTGAACAGAAATGATTAAGCAGTTGCTGTCAATAGGCTTTTTTTCAATACAGCTGTTGTGGCAGCCAAATCTAAAATATGATTTGAACCTCTTGAACAAATCCAGGTGACATCATTCTTTGGAACTAGCATGGAAAATTTCAGTTTAATATGTCCAGTGGATTCCGGGGAGATGTTTACAGAGCTGTATGCGCATTTTGAGAGAATTTAGGACCAAGGCTAAAGTGTTTATTTTAAATCAAGGTCTTATTTGAATATACATGTATCACGAAAAGTGGATCACACGTATTAAGGCTCACTAATAACTACACATATACACATTTCATTACGTTTTTAGAAATAATGACAGAGTAATGGCATAAATCTCGAACATACTTTTTTCACTGTGTTTTTTACAATAACTCTATATTAAGTTTACATATATACTAACTAGGAAAGTAACTGTGTTTCATATAAATAAAAATACAAAAAAACAGTAAAGATACATTTATTCTGAAATTAAAATATGCATCTTTCAACACATATTCATGAAGACATATTCTCGACCGTACACGGGATTAATGACCCATTTTAGTCATTAGCGTGTTAGCCATGTTTGTTGACGGAATACATAGGGATTATTTCTACCTTGACTATTTCAATATTTTCAGTTCTTCTAAGTATACAACTTTTGTTAACAAATGTGCTGACATTACATAATTAAATAACAAGTTTGTGTAATTATATAACTGCATAACAAGTGTGCTTACATTACATAACACATGTGCTTATACCACATAATTACATAACAAGTGTGTTTACATTACATAATTACATAACTAGTGTGTTAACATGACATAAATAAAGAACAAGTGTGCTTACATTACATAAAAAGAGTTTGACACTAACGTGGCTATATCCCCCGCCCCTGTTGCAGAATTTATACATAATTAAATCTAAGCAAACCCTAACCTTTTTTAACCGAGGTGGAACTTGTCATGGAAATTGTAAAAAAAGAAGAGTTTGGAACCTAAGTCCATCTTGTTGCCATGGAAACGTAAAAAATGAAAATGTCTAAAATTTCTAAATAGCAAAAGGCACCAGTTCAGCATGTACCTGACAAACCTGCAGAGTTTGATGAAAAAATATTGAACGGTGTATAAGTTATGCTCCGGAAACGAACCCTACCCTCACAGAACCTAAGTCCATCTTCTTGCCATGGAAACGTAAAAAATAAAAGTTTCTTAAATTTCTAAATAGCAAAAGGCACCAGTTCAGCATGTACTTGACAGACCTGCAAAGTTTCATGAAAAAATATTGAACGGTTTCTGAGTTATGCTCCGGAAACGAAACGTAACGGACGGACGGACGGACGGAGCCCGTTTCCATAATCCCCGCCAACTTTGTTTGTCGGGGGATAATTATTGGACAAGTGTGCTTACATTTGGCAGAAATCCTACGATGTGAGGTACTGGACAGCGGACATACGTCGGTTTAAGTTCAGTCTAAGAGTCTAAGAAGTCTGTCCAGTTGAACTGTTTGAACTTACCCTGTTGCTTTAGATGCGAGAGCCGAACTTCTTGATAACCTTGCATTGATCTCGATGATACAATATTCCATAGACTGGGGATGGAGGGCATACTGGATGTTGCACTCTCCAACGATGCCAAAGTGACGAACAACCTTATGAATGATGGATATTTATTGGAAGGAGAGTCAGGAAGTGCTACCTTACTGTTAGTTTCACGATCATTGACAAATAGTTATTTAGAATTAGTTCTGCCTGAAGTGGTATCGAAGAAATAGAAAGAAATGATACTACCTTAATTGCTGTCTCGCGCAGCATATGGTATTCTTCATTTGACAAAGTCTGACTTGGGGCAACAACAATGGAGTCTCCTATAATGAATTTTTAAGTAAAGTTATAAGTTAGTGTGCATTTAACTACAAAATCACTCAAATATATAACTCCTGTGCATTTGTAAAACTTTATTCTGCCATTTCAAGGGGTTTTCGACAGCAAGACAAATTACATAACCGTTCCACGCGGACACATTGTGGTATATTTGGTTTCCTTAGCTTTGGCCGCCTGTCAGACAATTTATAATTAGAAGAGGTTTGAACCAACCTTCATACATTGAGTTGTTAACACTAATCTAAAGGTTTCAAAACTTTGTTAGTGGACATACAGGAGACATGACAAGAGTAAGGTGCACCTACCTGTATGTATGCCAAGTGGATCAAGGTTTTCCATGTTGCAGACAGTGATACAGTTGTCGAAGGCGTCTCTCACAACCTCGTACTCTACTTCCTTCCATCCAACTAGTGACTTTTCTATCAAAATTTGGCTGGTAACAGCAAGAGCCTATGACGAATCCATACAATGGGTATATTCATGTCCCGTCTCATTGCTTTACGAGAGGCAAAATTTTATTACGTAAGTACATTTGGAGTATCTCAATCTTGATATTCAGTAGAGGAGCCCCCAGTAGACTAAGATGTACATTTACACAGATATTAGAGGTTATAGGAGAAATAACTCATTTTGTTCAAATTCTAGCAAAACTACTGGCGGCCATGTTGTACAAAGAACATGAATAACCTTGATTTTTCCCCAAAAAAACTACATCAATAGTTACAGTCGAGTAGGAAGATATTGGATTTTCGACGAAGATTTATATTCGGCATAACTTTGGAACTAGTCATGGTACATAAACACATAAGACAATATAAAGCAAATTCATATGATTATCATGAAATCTGGAAGGAACAGTAATATCTTTTTACACTGACAGCTACTCGCAAGAAACGCGGCTCAAATATTGCTGAAAGGGCCGTTAAACCATGTTCACTGCAACAGGAGGTTGTCCTCGAAATGACATACGCCTGCCGGGTCTGTTCACTGTACCACGAGGTCGTCTTCATATACCGGCGCCAAGTCTATTCACTGCTACACGAAATCGTCCTCGTAAATGATATACAGCGAGACAGACAGAAAGACACACTCACATGATGTTTTAATAAAGTCTCAAAGGAATCTGTTTCGGCAGATAACCGGGGCTGATTATTCTCTGGCATAGACGTCTAATACTTCATCTTCGACAATGTCGTGACAGCACAAACCTCATCTGTTTTCCATGGGTAGATTCTATTATATCCCTGATGTCGATGGAACAATACCACATCTAATTAGCACTGTGCTCGCCTGTGAGTCTCCTGGTTTTGAATTTTCGGAATATCCGTAGTTTGTTTCTTCCTGTCCACGTATTGCACTTTCTCTTTACAACTTGGATTTCCATTCCGACTTAAACTTTATTTTCTGCTTGGAAGGAGAGATGCTGCTTGCTGCAACAGACCTCGTTGTGTACTCCTATTCCAGTTATTCTTCTTTCTGTTGATTCTGTATTGGTTCATTTTGACAAGTTAGTCCCATTGTCTGGTCACAATAGGTGGAATCCAAGCAAACTCTCTATCTACAGCTGCGTCTGGTGTGTACTTTCCAATATCCAGGAAGAAACGAATCACTCTACAGTGTACTGTATTGACTGATGTCCCCCAGATGGCAGCGCCTTTTCCAATATAGGCCAGACCATGCAGGTACCTAGTCTAGTCACTGCCACACTCGATTATCCTCTAAATGACATACCAAGGCTTAGCCTATTCGCAGAGTTACGGGACTATCCTGTAATGACATACAGTGCCTAGTCTATTCACTGCCACACTCGATTATCCTCTAAATGACATACCAAGGCTTAGCCTATTCGCAGAGTTACGGGACTATCCTGTAATGACATACAGTGCCTAGTCTATTCACTGCCACACTCGATTATCCTCTAAATGACATACCAAGGCTTAGCCTATTCACAGAGTTACGGGACTATCCTGTAATGACATACAGTGCCTAGTCTAGTCACTGCTACGCGAGATTATCCTCTAAATGACATACCAAGGCTTAGCCTATTCACAGAGTTACGGGACTATCCTGTAATGACATACAGTGCCTAGTCTATTCACTGCTACGCGAGATTATCCTCTAAATGACATACAGACGTACAGTTAGATAAAGTGAAAGTCATAACCACCGAACGGCGTTAGATACACCAAATGATTAAAGCACAACTAAACATGATCATGCGTTTTCTGCATTATCACACCCTTTCCCACGACCAGGATCTATGACATGTACACGGGAAAACTTTCATAAAATGAAGAAAACAACAGTAAAGGAAGTTGATATAATAAAGGAACATTAGAACTCTATCGATGTTGTACTGTTTTAGCTGATTTTTCAAGGTTTTTTTCTGTTTTAATGTTACTAGTTTGTTTAAACAATCTCTTAATCATTGAAATAACTATTTTAATGGCTTTCTCGGGCCCTAAATAATACACAAAAATAGTCCCATACGTTTATGTGCCATGATTAAATGTTATGAAGCTGAGAAACCATACGTCACCTCTGTTGGACCTCGTTCTCTTTGCACAAGCAGTATGATCGTTTCTTTGTCAGTGTCACTTATTGAAAATCATAGTTTGTTATTTTTACATATATAAATTTAATACTGTTCATTCCAGACTTCAACGGAGTCATATAAATTTTCTTTGTATGTAGATAGATATTACAAGTCTTTTTCAAGTTTTTCGTGTTTTAATGAAACAAACTTGTTTAAAAAATATTTAAATCTCTAAGATTCATCTCACGCAGTAAGTAGTTTCATGGCGCACAAAAGTAGTTTCATGTCACACAGTAGGTAGTCCCATGTCACACAAAAGTAGTTTCATGTCACACAATAAGTAGTTTCATGGCTTAAAAGAATTAGTTGGAACGCAGTAAGTAGTTTCATAGCACACAAAAGTAGTTTCATGTCACACAGTAAGTAGTTTCAAGTCACACAGTAAGTAGTTTCATGTCACACAGTAAGTAGCTTCATGTCACACAAAAGAAGCTTCATGTCACACAGTAAGTTGTTTCATGGCTTAAAGAAGTTGTTTCATGTCACACAGAAGTACTTTCAGGTCACACAGAAGTACTTTCAGGTCATACAGTAAGTAGTTTCATGTCACACAAAGGTAGTTTCATGTCACACAAAAGTAGTTTCATGTCTCAAAGAAGTAGTTTTATGGCACACAGTAAGTAATTTCACATCACACAAAAGTAGTTTCATGTCACACAGTAAGTAGTTTCATGTCACATGTTAGGAGAAGGTCAAAGGCATAGGTCACTAGATGTTCTCTTGACATTTCCTGTTTTAAGATATAACTTAGTTTATAAACACATGCAATCTCTGGTTCTCGCCAAGATGTACTTCATTTCACTGATGAGGTATATCTGTGCACCTTATTTATCCATGATGGACATACTCACAGCAGAGGTAATCTTCTTAAGACTGGCTTCATCACGTGCTACTCCCGACCCCAATCCACCAAGTGCATAAGCGGCCCTCACCATCACCGGGTAGCCGATATGGTCAGCTGCCGCCAATGCTGCGTTCAGGCTGTTAACGGCGCGGCTAGGTGCCAATTTTTCATTGATCTGTTTCAGGTTGGAAGCAAATATCTCCCGGTCTTCAGTCGCTTTAATACTGTCTATCTGGGTACCGAGAACTTTAACTCCATATTCATCAAGGATCCCTTGGCGATGAAGTTCAACTCCTGATAAAAGAAAAATAAACTACTATTAAAACTTCCATTGGCCTGGGAATTATACTCGTGTGTCATTTGTAACCATCGCCCGCAGATTTACTTAAGTAAATGCGTGCTGGTGTGCAAAATGTAGAAAAGGAAACTAAATTCACGCGCAGTAGGTGAGTGAGATAACGGCGTTTTAAACAGTATTTATTATAACAGTTGTATCATGGCAAGCCGGTTTAATGTGGGAGGACAGCCAGATATCACATAAATAGGTTACACAATTAAACAAAGACCATATGCGTGTTAACGGTCCTGTTCCTGTGTTGGTGTTGTAACGTAGCCTACCGCAGTTGAGGGCGGTCTGGCCACCCATGGACAGAAGGATGCCATCCGGCCTCTCTCTCCTGATCACCTCGCTCACAAAGTCAGGAGTAATTGGCAAGAAGTACACAGAGTCGGCTTGCTTCTCTCCTTCTGCGTTAGTCTGTACAGAGGCTATGTTGGGGTTCATCAAGATGGTGTTCACGTCTTCCTCCTGGAGTTTATATCATAATGCATGTCTTGTTGTCAATAGTAATACATAACCAGAATATGCAAAGGAATTAGTCAAAACTGTGACATAGAAAATGTGTGCATGTTGTTGTTTTCTTGTCAGTGAAACAACAACAGTTGAGGTGATCATTGCGAAAGGATCACAAACTTTGGTCTTGAACTGGATGCAAACATACAGCCACAAAGTTTCTACATAACGAGTCGTCTCGCTACATGTACATTTACACTGAGTAGGACCATGTCACATGGTCGTGTTGTTGTACAATACAAAACGCCTTTTTCGTGAATTGTAGATGTAAGGCCCAACAGACATAGAGGTGCTGCCGCATTGTCACCCTTTGGTGGAAACCAAATTTGTTAAAATGTTGCCGTATTCTCACAGTCGCGCTTTGTGCAGTTATTACAGCATATCTGAACCCAGAACAGAGGTCAAGTTTAAAATTTTGTGTTAGAGTTTCATCACGAAAGAAAACTTCCAGGGACTGTTTATTGTGTAACAAGCATGCCTTTGATTATGATAATCACATCATATTACATTGTGAAGCTCTACTGCAGGAAAGAAATGGACAACTTTTAGTGATCTGCTTGATGTTGAAACCTATGTCCAGTTGGAATTACAAGATGAAGAAGATATGTTGTCATTTTTCTTTGGTGCTGATACTCACTTCTCACAATGTATTGATATAGTTACATGGGAATCTGTTATACTGATATTTTCTGCTTATGTACTTACACTAAAGCCTTACCTTGATTATGTCATCTGATCATTTTAATATGTAACGGGAACGTGAGATGAAAAGCAGTTTCAGGGAATCAAGGGATGTCTTCACGTGCACAAACATGTGCTCACCTTCAAAGCTTTAATTGCTTGTGTACCGCTGTAGTCAAATTCCCCTGCCTGTCCAATTGACAACCCACCACTGCCTAGCACAAGAACTTTGGACATCTGCAGACGTAATGCATTTCGGTAAAGGTGTTATATTGCAAGTATTATAAATGTACGTCTCAAGCTTTCTGAAAGTGAACAGGTTTGATCACAATCGCGATGTAGGTGTATTGGTTTCTATGTGGCCTTGTAATCTCCAAAAGACACCACCAACAGTTTACTACCCCATAATCAGATTGGAAAAGATATCAAGTCATTAAAATAGATCATATAAAAATAACCGAGGGAATATTGGAAGATAAAGGTTTGACTAGAAATTGGCAGTTCCAACAAATTCATTTAAGTCGTTTAAATACCTCTTTCTTCACATCATCTTGTCATACACTGAACATGGGAAACAGGCCGTTGTTAACACTCACTCTTTATCAGTATGTGACAAAATAAAGATCGAAATTCAAAGCAATCGTAGCTATCACTCATAATAAACAATAAAACATATGAAATGACAACACTGATTCAAATTAATATCCTTAAAAGCATGCATATATATGTATGTAACTGCCAGAACATTGTGTATGGTATCATTATTTCCGGTTGAAATGAAAAAGGACCAACGGGACGTAAGCTGAAATAACAGATCTATTTTCAAGCATCACAAATAAATCAGCACCATAGCTCCACTAAACATTTCAATAACCATTTCGAAAACAGGCGATTGTACAAACTACATAGTAAACCTCGAAGAGGAGTTGAGGCAAATTTTGTCACCTTCGCGGGTTGTGGTCTGGCCTTGAAGCTAGGCATGACATTCACTACGTACTTCTCCTTTGTCTTGATCAGGTCCAGGAAGTAGTCAAAGAGGAACTGAAACACAGGGAGACAATATGTCGTCATATAGATATTAGTCTCCTGATCAAAGTGCACTTACTATCAAGTGTAAGCCCGATAATCTCTTCACAAAAAAATTATCCAAACTGGCTAATTGGCATCTTTGTGTTTACTCGAATATATTCCAAATACACAACTCGTCAACTCGAAAACTGCTAAATCACACTGGCGCTTCCATGTTCCTTCAAACCAATTTATGTCTCTACCAAAATTCTACGGTATCAATAACTTTGTTAACTCTAATTCTCACATCTGTGTCTTTGATAACTCACATACTTCTCTTTCAGTAATCGTTTATAGCCATGTTAACCTAAATGCTGCAACCTCACATCTGTAACTGTTTAACCCGGAGATAGCTCTCTCAGTCCATGTTTGTGACAGATCTTACCTCTGTGTCTGTTGGTCCTCCATAGGCCTCAGGGTGAAACTGCGCTGTAAAAATCGGTTTGGTGTTGTGCATGACACCCTGTCAATTGAAAAATTATTTAGGTATATTGTTCATTTATTCAACATTAGTGTATATCATCTTACATGTTCGGCGTGGATACGGAACGTGGGCCAAAGGAACAATGTTTCCTTACATCTTTGATGTGATAGTTACATGATTATAATAACCTCGAATCTGTCAAGCTAATTTATTACCTTGATATATGCCACTCAAAAGAAGTTAAATAACACCCGATCTTTTTCGTATCACATCTGTCATGGTTGGTGGTATAGCAACACACAATCTACCAATAATGTTAAGTGTTCTTTAAGTAGCTTTGAGTAGCATTTGTTACGAAGAACATGTCAAACTCTTAATAGTGCTTTACCTCATTTGTGCCATCGTTTGCATTAACGAAGAGAACCCCCCAGTCCTCTGGGAGAGTCTCACTGTCTATCGCAAAGCCGTGGTTCTGGGATGTAATGAAAGCCTGCTTGGTAACGACGTTTACAACAGGCTGGTTGTGGCCCCTGCAAATAAACGTTGAGAGTTTCACGGTCTTGGGTCACGTTGTGTCCAACTATTTGTATTTTAGTAACAATGAAAATGATCATCATTTTTTTCGTTTGTAGCCTTGTTCTTCGCTACAAGAAGTTGCAATTGTTCGTTTAGATATATACGTTTGGCAAATACTAGTTATCTCCTACCTACATACAGTGTTTATATCTATTATGAGCAGAGCATTAGTGTTATAGATAAAGTCAGCACCTGTTGCCAAGTGGTAATTTGTAGGACTTTGCACCGGCAGCAAGTGCTGTAATTTGGTTGCCCATACAGATTCCGAATACCGGCTCAGGCCTGCTCTCCAGAACCTAGGAATATAGAGTCAGTCATTAGCACGACGTTCTTCATCAACTGCAAAACGTAACAAGTGTGAACAAACTTGTATGCATGTTCATTCTTCAAGCATACTTTCTACCAAATATTTCAGTATCTCAGGCTTGAATAATGGTGATATATATCCACATAAGGTATGAGAATATTTCAGTCATTGGTAACTGAGAAAACGTTTAAAAAGCAATACGCAAATACGGAAAAGGCCAATGAAACCTTTTCCTTGTGATATTGACGTTTGAAACACTCACTCACTCACTCACTCACTCACTAAATATTAAGGTAGCGGAATGGAATTAAAAACTAACGATAAAATCGTCACGTGTGCATGAAGGTCACACAAAATTCGTTTTATGAAATATCGCAAAAAATTAAAACAAATATATTGAGCCCGACAATATACCAAATTTAAATAAACGTGTTTTCCACCATGGTTGCCGTGGTGAGATTTGAACCTCTTGGACAAATATATGCCGCGTTTAGTTGGAACAAGCACGCATGTTTCATGTTTATTGAGCCGAGGAGAACACGTTAGCGACGGACGAATGCCATGGACAGCCATCAATGACACAAGCAAACAAGCAAAAAAATTCAAGCCAATGGATGGGGCAGGAAACGCCCACCTTTTCGCGAACAACTGGTTCATCTAGATTACTGCCGTTTTCAGAGAAGAGAGTCTCTGGGCTCCTTTTTATTATATCTTTGATAATTTAATAACTGTTTATTTGTTTTGTAACATATGATCATTTCAACAACCAGATCTTAGTCAAGGAAGAACATTTCATCGGCATTTTCAAAATGACTGACACGTACAAGACAAAGTTATCTGTATACTCCGATATCCGTGATTTCTTTGAATTCATGAAAGTCTTATTCTTCTATTGGGTTCCCGTGATTATACAGCTTCCGAACTAATGAACTCAAATATTCTAGTATGCAAACTGAGGCAATAGGGGTAGCCCAGTTGTCTAAGGCGCCGCGATTCGCTGTACAGTGTTGCGTCCCTTGGGCACGCCAAAAACCTATGATTGTGGGTTCGAATCCCGGTTCTCCCAGATTGTATTTCTAGGTTTGTCAGCACCATACCCATGCTCGCGGGTTTCACCGAAATGGTAAACGTCTAAGACCTGCATCACTTCGGGATTTCCTCCCACATTAAGCTGACACAACTGGAATAACGTCATATAACTGGAATACAGTTTAAAGCAGCGTTAAACCCAAATCACTCACTAGTATACAAACTGTAATTGAATTGTGTTACTTAAAAACATTTATTTTTATTTTGTGGGATGACTGACCTTTTGGACATGATGGATTGCTTCCAGAGACAAAGACGGATCACCGGGGCCATTAGAAATAAATAATCCATCATAGGCGTCGTTCGTAAAGTCATAATCCCAGGGCACCAGTCGGACCTCTGCTCCTCTCTGTCACCAACGCAAGCCAATGCTTAAAATGTTTATTAAATACATAATCTTCTCAACCAGTATGACTGACATAAGTGTATAAGGATAATTTTGTCAGGTGTCGACTAGAGAACCGATGACGCCCTTTCCGGGGACTAAACTGACATGTGTAACTTTTCGTGCCTCACCTTGACAAGATTCCGCAACATGTTGTGTTTCACGCCACAATCCAAGGCCAAGATGCGGATGGGATTTCCTTTGCCGTAAACACGTATCTCCTGTTGAAATACATGAAATGCTTAATTAATATTTATTTATATATCAGAAACCTCATATCATAATATCAATAATAAATCTTGCATTTTTAGATCTGTAACCTAGCTACAACATGCAAACGTATGATAGGATTCATAACACAACCAGTACATTATATCTGTGTGATTGGTGGGGGACACATTTGGTTTGAAAAAACATCTATCACAAATCACAGTTCTATAAATGAATTTGCTTTTCCCAAGTATGGATGAATAGCTGTTTTGAGGTACCATGGGCAAGGAGAAGCAAGCAAACATTACGTTCTGAACCGACTCCGTACCAATTTAAGTACTATTTACCTGCTCAGGCATGGAGGAAGTACTTTTAGTCACAATACAGGAAGGAAAGTTATAACATGGAACATTTCTGTAGAATGTCTTCTTGTCGGCAAATGTTTCTCGTGGCCATGAAAGACATGACAGCGGGCGAACACACCTTTGTGGAAACTTCAGCCATCAGATTGCGAAGATTAGGGTCATCAAATTCCACCTCCCTTCCATCAAACTCAATATTACCAAGAATAGTCCCCTGCATAAAAGAAAAAATACTAAATTCGAGTTCCATCATGTTCTACCATCATGTTCAAGATACACACTGCACCAATCCACCCAACTACGTCTATTGTTTCGGTTTATGGAAAAAGAAAACTTGCTGCTTTAGGCAATCGAACGTAGTTTCTTAAATAATTTCAAATTAATTTGCTATGAAAATGACGTGTATTTCCCTGGCGAGTACATCTCAGTATACCACATGAAACACTAAATATAAACGCAGCACTTACACATCTTAGTTGTACAAAATACTTTGGAAAGACACCATATTCACCTCATCTCTGATTATCTTTGTAATCATCCGCGTGTCGATACCATACAGGGCAGGGATGTGTTCTTCCTTCAGCCACTGGGACAAAGATTTCACAGCATTCCAGTGGCTATGTTGGTCGGTGTAGTCCTGAACAATCAGACCACTCACCTGGCATAAGAGAGTTATTTCAAACACCATGCAGTTATTTCATATCAAATTTCATAATGATAAATGTATGGAATACTGTAAGGGACATTCTCGCGATCTCGCATTCTCGCGATCTCGACCTTTGGAAACGAGGTAAATATGCCCAAAACACGAGAATGCGAGATCGCGAGAACGCGAGATTTGGCCAAAATCTCGCGTTCTCGCGATCTCGCATTCTCGTGTTTTTGGTACATAGCACTTTTTGTCAAAAGTCGACAACGCGAGAATGCGACATTTGGACATGATGCAAAATCTCATAATCTTGCAATCTCGACTTGTCAAATTAGGCCACAAAAACACGAAATCGCGAGAACGCGAGAATGCGACATTTCATTTTCTCGCGATCTCGCGTTCTCGTGTTCTCGCGTTTTAGACGCTGTCCGTGCGCATGCGTAATATCACAAGGTCAAGGCCCATGCGCACGTTAGTAGTCCTTTGGTCATGCTTCTTTCGTGCTCTTCATTTTCCAAGTAGCATTTAGCAAACTTATGACTTTAGCTTGAAAATGCTATGTAATTTACATACACAAAGTCTGAGTCATCTCCCGTTGTTACAGTTTCCTATGTTCTTTATGATAAAACCCTCAACATGCTCAATATAATTTAACAAAAGAAATTGTGTACATGAATGTCCAATGATAGTGAAAACATTAATGTGTCCGAAAGCTGGAAACAAAACTATTACCGTCAGTGAGTGAGTAATATTGCTTAAAGCCGCACCAGCAGTACTACAGTTACAGAAATAATCACAGGCCAGTGAGTTTCTCCATGAGGCAATGTTATACACGGCTAGCATATTCATGAAAGGCAAAATTCTCATAGACCAATTTGAAATACAAAATTAATTATCATATTTTCATCCGCTCCAACCTGACTACAAAACATCCCGCTTTACATTATTTTATAGTTAAAATGGATAAAATTATCATTAAACCGCCCGCATGTTATCATAAATGAGCGGGCCACTGTTAAAGAAATAAACGACGAGTGGGAGTACAATAAAACACTGCAGGGAGAATAAACCATGAGGGGCTAGTGTTTTATTGTACAATATACAACAACCACGAGTCGTTTAATGATTATATGATATATCAACATTATGTACAGCCTCTTTAAGGATGTTGATAAAATGTACAAGGTTTAAAAATATTTACCCCTATTTAAGGCGGGTATTTCCCGCATATGCTCACACAATCCTCAGGTCGATTACACGTACCTTTTCTCCCAAAACCGATTGTCATATTGTAACCGGGGATTGTGAAGAAAAATACAATTTCAAACATAGGCTACGGGTGTGAGTGTTTATTGCCAGAGTAGATAATGACATCCTTTAATGTACAAAACAATAACATTATAAAAACAATACTGCATAGGTTTCATACACATACATATTCACACAATCATTCAGTTCATATAAACATACGTCTATATTCTGTACATGAACATGAACTTAATAATCAATGATATACAAAATCATTATCTTAACCCTATAATAAACAAACAATTCATCAAGGGCGATAACTCGATCCCGACATCACTCATAAGATACGATATAAACCTGGTCCATGTTGTAAAATACACTTAACATTATAAATACAATTACCACTTTCTTGAAACTGCTGTATTTATTCAGTAACTCACCATATATTTGGCACGATACACTATTTACAATTCATATTTCGAGACACGACAAACATGTAAATTACCCGTACCCTGTGGGTGACACTGGGATGTTTATCGTCTTCATGCAGCCGCCATTACGATAGAAGTGCCACAACATCCATGGAGAGCAACCTGACGGTCACTTCCCTCTCACAATTAACGTCGTCACTCACTGCGTTATAATGTTACAAGATCACAATCGAATCATCAGAAATGAGGTCATGATTAATTGTGTAATACATCCCGCTTCGTTCTTCGATGTTCATAGCGATTGAACGCGTAGTCATCTATAGAGTAAGTGCGAGAGTTGGGTTTAACACTGCTTTTATCAGTATTCCAGTTATATCACAGCGTGTCAGCTTAATATGAGAGGAAAGCCCGAAGTGATGCAGGTCTCAGACGTTTACCTCTTCGATGAAGCCCACGAGAACGGGTATTGTGAAACAAGAAACATAATCAGGGCAGACCGGGATTCGAACCCACAATCATAGGTTTCGGGCGTGCCCAACTGACGCAACTCTGCACAGAGAATCGCGGCGCCTTAGACGACTGGGCCACCCAAATGAGTGTTTATATATTTGATGTCAGACCGCCGTCATATAGCTGGAATATTGCTGAGTGCGGTGTTAACAACAAACAAACAAAATCTTTCTGAAAAATACCATTAGGCATCCATGTTGGTTATTTGACTGTTAGTTGTCAGACAATATTTGTCAAATTCAGTCAGTTCACAGGCAAGAAAGGGAGCGTGTTCTTGACTTTATTATGTTACCAGTCTACATATATATTTCTGTATAATCAAAAGACTTGGAAAATGTGCATTCTGACATTGTCAAAAGTCACGTGATTTTGAGCAGCCATTTTGAAATAAACTGCATTAATTAGCATAGCAGAAATTCCTATGAACCTTGTGGTTTATTTCGTCGTTTTGATGTCAAAAGACACGAGCGTGAGATTTTATTCATCATCCAACATCATTCTTCCAACTTTTTGAGTTTGTAGACAGTAATAAGCAGTGTCTTAAAGATGTTGGATACAATGGTTCGTGCGCACATCAGTTCACGCCGTTGCACGCGAGTTTACCGTGACGAATTACCTTACAAAATAGTTACATACAACTGTATAGGCAATTAGCACAAAAACACGAGAACGCGAGATCGTGAGAATTGACCAATCTCGCAATCTCGCGTTCTCGCGTTCTCGTGTTTTTGAAAATAGTTACATACAACTGTATAGGCTATTAGCACAAAAACACGAGAACGCGAGATCGCGAGATCGCGACACTTGACCAATCTCGCGTTCTCGCGTTCTCGCGTTCTCGTGTTTTTGAAAATAGTTACATATAACTCTATAGGCAATTAGCACAAAAACACGAGAACGCGAGATCGCGAGATCGCGAGATCGCGAGATCGCGACACTTGACCAATGTCGCAATCTCGCGTTCTCGTGTTTTTGAAAATAGTTAGACACAACTGTATAGGCTATAAGCACAAAAACACGAGAACGCGAGATCGCGACACTTGTCCAATCTCGCATTCTCGCGTTCTCGCGTTCTCGTGTTTTTGAAAATAGTAACATATAACTGTATAGGCAATTAGCACAAAAACGCGAGAACGCGAGAACGCGAGAACGCGAGATTGCGACATTGGTCAAGTGTCGCGATCTCGCGTTCTCGCGTTCTCGTGTTTTTGTAAATAGTTACATATAACTGAATAGGCAATTAGCACAAAAACGCGAGATCGCGAGAATTGACCAATCTCGCAATCTCGCGTTCTCGTGTTTTTGAAAATAGTTACATACAACTGTATAGGCTATTAGCACAAAAACACGAGAACGCGAGATCGCGAGATCGCGACACTTGACCAATCTCGCGTTCTCGCGTTCTCGCGTTCTCGCGTTCTCCCGTTCTCGTGTTTTTGAAAATAGTTACATATAACTCTAAAGGCAATTAGCACAAAAACACGAGAACGCGAGATCGCGAGATCGCGACACTTGACCAATGTCGCAATCTCGCGTTCTCGTGTTTTTGAAAATAGTCACATACAACTGTATAGGCTATAAGCACAAAAACACGAGAACGCGAGATCGCGACACTTGTCCAATGTCGCATTCTCACGTTCTCGCGTTCTCGTGTTTTTGAAAATAGTTACATATAACTGTATAGGCATTTAGAACAAAAACACGAGAACGCGAGATCGCGACACTTGACCAATGTCGCAATCTCGCGTTCTCGCGTTCTCGTGTTTTTGTGCTAATTGCCTATACAGTTATATGTAACTATTTTCAAAAACACGAGAACGCGAGAACGCGAGATCGCGACACTTGACCAATGTCGCAATCTCGCGTTCTCGCGTTTTTGTGCTAATTGCCTATACAGTTATATGTAACTATTTTCAAAAACACGAGAACGCGAGAACTCGAGATTGCGACATTGGACAAGTGTCGCGATCTCGCGTTCTCGTGTTTTTGTGCTGATTTCCTATACAGTCATCGTGGGGCTCAGTCGTCTGAGTTGTCGCAATTCGTTGTGTAGAGTTGCGTCCCTTGGATGTGCCAGAAACCTACGATGGAAGGTTTCCTCTCATTTAAAGGGACACTGATCTACAGAAATGCCCCGAGACTGGGTGTTGCCTTAGTTATTGTCCCCCCCCTCCCCGCCCCCACCCAACCTCCCCCGTGAGTATCCGGATGATATGGCAGATATCAAGACTAGTTCGCGACCTGTGCTGCGCCATTCGTAAGCGCATGTATCGCTTTTATTGATAGTATTTCATTGTGGGTATATTGTTTAGCCAAAATGTATAAAGTTTCACGAAGGCAATTTTTGCAACGCCTAAATATTCAGTTATTTTACAAATTGACTGTAAATCGGTCAATTTCATCACCCAGTGACTAAAAATGATAGGATTAAAGGAAAACAAAATTCAAAGTACGTTTCTATAGTTTTGGCTTCTAATACTAGCGGGGCGGTCGGGTAGCCTAGTGGTTATTGCTGAAATAGTGCTAAAAGGGGGGTAAAAACAAACACACTCACTCACTCTAATACTAGGATAAATAGTCTATTTTTAAGCCCTTTTGAACCTCTTAAAAATTGTTAGTCAATCTGGACTTGGATTCAGTCAATTTCTATATTACTGAAATATTTAGACATTTTATAAATTGCCTGAGTGAATCACTTTTACACATTGAGTGTAATATACATGTATACACGCCTACAGGTACAAGAAGAACAAAACTGATTCTATCCAATGCAACAGCAAATGAATGAAAACAAAATGTAAATATCATAATTACGACCCA